AAACTGACGTTACGTGCCTTGTTTCTTGTAGTGTATATGGGCATAGCAACCGGAGATTTAGCTAAGTTTTGACCAAATTAAAACAATTTCCATCACAATAAGAAAGAAAAAAAGAATCAAACAATGGTAACTAAGTAGTGCCTTTTTTTGTTCTCTCTCTCTTTTTAATTTAGTTAAACTTTATGGATGTTGAATCGATAGAAATAAAGTCAACTATCCCTTTAGACTACAGTAGAAGACTTTAAAATTTAGTCTGGAAGAACTTAATTAACTAAAATCCTTCCGTATCGAAAAAATATAGCTATATATTACGTTAATTCCTCGGAAACGTACGCTCTATATTCATTTGTATTTTATACATGCTATAGTTAATTAATTTCGCTTTTAACTATAGATGGAAGATATACTCTATAATAAGAATAACAAGACCTAGGGTCTGATTGGTAACAAGCTGTTAGCTGTTAGCTGGAGCTGTTAGCTGGAGCTGTTAGCTGTTAGGGAATAGTGCAAAGCTGTACAAAAGAATAAAACACCAAAGCTGTACAAAAAAAAAACGCAGAACAAATTTTAAAAATTTACTCTGATTGGAAACATTATAGCGGTACACATAATAAATAATATTCAAAGTTTAGAAAGAAAAAAAAATTACATAGAAATGTACTTTAATATATAATTACATATGAAAAATAAAATTATACAGAATGAACAATATTTTATTGTTAGAATAATAATATGAATTAACTAGTCCTAAAATAAATAAAAATATCTTTTTCTTTATTATAAAATAAAAACATTAAAACTGATTTACTAAAATTAATTTTAGTAATTTTTTAATTTGAAATACAATGTCTCAAACATACATAGAGAATTTAAACATACGTAAACACATAAACAATTGAAATTAAGTACGAGCTTCCCATAACAAATCTGCTATTTGATTACGTACATCTGCCATATATGCTCCACTTCTCGATGTTTCCACCTCTTCTATTTCATTGGCCACACTTACATCTACATCATGTTGTCCATTATCATTTTCATTTTCTGCATCGGTCTCAAAATCATCATCAGCAATATTGGAACGTCGAATGTAATTATGAAGACCCATTGTAACAAGCACTAATTTTTTTTTAGTTTCTAATTTGTAAAAAATAATTAGTTACGGTTAAAAAATATATTAACTGTAACCGTTAATTAACCGTAACCGTATTTAACCGTAACCGTTGTAACCGTAACAGTATTTAACCGTAACCGTTTTAACCGTATATACAATAGTTAATGTTACATTTAAAAAAAAATATAATCGTAACCGGTGATTAATTAACTGTAACCGTAATAACCGTAACCGTGGTCATGCCTAAAAAATAGTGAAGAGCTAATTTTAGTTTGATATAGTTTTTATTATTTTAATCTGTTTTTATTTTTGTCCAAAAAAAAACTTGTTTTTGTACCGTTGTAACCGTAATTATAACCGTATTTAACCGTAACCGTTATAACCGTATTTAACCGTAACCGTTATAACCGTATTTAATCGTAACCGTATTTAACCATAACCGTTTAAATTTGTTTTTGTTTTTGTCCAAAAAAAACTGTTTATGTTATCTGTACCGTTTTTCATAAAGCTTTTGTGATTGATAACTGTCAAAGTTGTACAGCTTTGTACAGCTTTAAAATTGTTCACCAATCAAACCCCTAATAACTACTACTGATCAATACTAATAAGAATTCATAACAGAAAAATATTTTAAAACGATACAGTAATTATTTGGATGAGTCAAAGAAGAGAGAATCTGCGAGGAGGTAGAGAGAGAGGCCCGGAGAAGGAGGGAAGGAGAGAGGCCACGTGGCAGAAGGAGAAGTGTGGTCCAAAGAAAAAGGAAAAACAGGGAGACGACACGTAACCCAACCAGAAAAGCATTCCCATGTGACCTCTCTTCACTCATTCACTTGCGTGGAACTTGTCTTTGTCACCACTTTCCCTTCCTTCGTCATTATTCTTTCACTGCTTTTTTACCATTTAAATAATAAATATATTCAGTTTTCTTTTTCCTTTTTTCCTGAAAAATATATTCCAAAATATTCATTTTTCTTTTGTGCAACAAAACCAAATTTCCAAAATAATTTTAATTTCAAATTTACAGAAGATATTTTGTTTGGAGTCTTTCACACATATTTATCTAAAACACATTAATGAAATATTACATTAGTGGAAAATTGTCAATTATTATCTTTTGTATCATCCTTATAACCATATTGTTATGTACATGTTCCTACCAGAAATAGCAAGTACCGGTTTCACGTACGAAAACAATTTTAATTTAGAAATACCTTCGATTTGAGATACATATATAAAAACTGCACTACTGCTTAGGTCCATTAAATTTGATGATGTGACGTTAGAAGAGACAAAATGATGGCCATACACCATTTTCTACATAATATACATGTCCAATGGAAAATAGCTTTAGTATTTGTGAGTTGTATGATGTGTCTTCCTCCAATAGCGAGAAAAGCTAATGGGGGACATATATACAACTAAAAAAAGCTTTTATTATATTGTTTTCATGTTCTGATTGGGTGACGAATAATCACGTTTAAATTACCTGAAAATTTCTGATAACCCGTATTCAAATTATTCATTTGTTGTAAAGATAGAACTTCTTTATTTGTCATCAAAACATTGGTTTTTAAATCTATTCCATTCGGTCTAACTGAGTAACTAACATCAATAATCTCTTACTTTCAAGTCGTTTTATGATTTTCTTTTTTAATATAGAGTTACGTGAAACAATTTGACACTTTGATTCCAAATTATTAACTTTCTTCTTTTTATTTTTTCAACATGCAACGAATGTCCCAGTAGATAAGTTGAATTTTATCCTCGTCCCTATTCGAAGACCACGTGAACATCACGTGCATAGCCGTCACTCAATGTCGGAATATATATTTTTTTCTTTTTCTGTGAATTAGTTAGTCCTTCCTAATTATATACCTTCCCATGATTCGTGTTCATTGCCTACACATTACTCTCTCTCTCTCTCTCTTTTACGCACCTAAAAAAGGCACACCATATAACCTTATTTATCAAGTGACCGTTTTTTAAGATGAAAAGTGAATACTACTATATGTTTCCAACGTCATATACTATTTTAAACCAATCAGTCATATCAATTCTGTATATATGTTTTTTTTTCTCCCTACATATTTGTATCCTTTTAGATAAGCTAGGGTTGAGCACCTTACAAATCAAAAGCACGGCATTGTAGAAACCACCCCTCTACTAACCTTCAACAAATTTAATATAATTTTAAGGTTCGAATGGTGGTAAAGGATATTGCAGAAAATGATGGAAAAAAACGAAAGCAATATGGTTATGACAGAAGAAATTGAACAAAAGATGTTGAACAAGCATAATAAAATGAATAACATGACATGTGTTCAACTCATTTTATTAGTTATTTTGTGCAAGTGTGGTATTTTTAATTTTACTTTAAATATGCATTCCAAATTCATGTGAATGAAGGCGTGAAAGCTTTAATCTTTGCTGCTTATGTCCAATCTTTAATTATTCCACCACACCATTCATGACCTCAAATGTACTAAAAGAATTGTAGGTACTTTTGGTTTTTGGTACGAAGTAAATAAAGAAGGCATGAAAGCGTTTATGTGTGTGCTCCTTATGGCCAATCTTTATTCTCCCTGTTGTCATGTCTCGAACTTGGAACCTTAACTTTCTCCTTCAAGAAATTACATAAGTTCAACTATAACAGGCGTATAATATATTTCTCATACACCAAAATATGACCTTAGTCTCATAGAACTTCAAAGTACGTCGATGATACATTGATACGTAAGTTGTCTTGTGTCTACACATTACATGATATAATCTATGGCCGAATAAATTTCGTTAACCTGATACAAAAAGAAGGGTTTAAAATGTTTCGTATAACTTACAAAGCAGGCCTTTAAAAAAAAAAAAAACTTACAAAGCAGGCTATGTTCAATTAATCGCATGTTGGAATATATTATAACAATGTTGAAGAAGACAAAATAGAGTACAATGTTTAAATATAAAGAAAGAAAACTCGGGAAGATTCGTGGTTATAGACTCCTAATCACTAGTGTAAAATAATAATCAATAGGAAAGATGGGAAAAAGAGGAGCACACTGCTTTTCAAAGGAAAATGAGTGGTCTCGAGCTCCGAAAACAAAGAAAAAATAACCTATAAAATTGACTAATTAACAGTAAAAACTAAAATAACCAAAGACAAAGACAGTTTATATTATATAGTTTGGAAAAATAAATTAAATTAAACATATATACCCAATAGTTATCCACAGATGATCGGATCGCTTGTTTACTACTTCAAAATTTGGTCGTCTTCGGGATCCACACCACGTCTCTTGTCCAGAATTGTCCTCACCCACCAAATTTTTATGTTTTACTTTATTTATTACCAAAACGCAAATTCTGATGGACTGCGACAATATTTTCTTTACATGAAAGCTCTTAAAAATATTTGATAATAAAAAAGAGAAGCTCTTGAATATTTTGTAATTATAACCAACATACATTTTTCTTCAAAAAGTTAAAATAAAATTTTTGAACATCTAAACGTTTTCCATCATATGTATATTTGTATTTCTCGTTGGATAAATTATTTTATAATTTCAATCAAGTGAAACAAAATGTTCTCCACTTCTTACAACATTTGTACATTGTGCTACCAACTAGAAAAGAAGTAATATCTAGAAGAAATGTAACCATATAAGTGTATTCTCCTTTAGGGTAAGTACATCCCATTAAACATTAAAACTATATGTATATTCAATCCGTATCATACATGCATACCACACAATCAATGATTCTTTTATTCAATTTACTTCTTTTTACATAAAGATAAATGGCATAAGTGTAAATAAAGGGAAATACGACCCACGAATAAGGGTCACAGTCGTTGAGCTTATAAAAAGCATCTCATAGGACTCAACCTCACCAAAGTCATATCCTATTGCATCACTCTCCTTTAAACACAGTCAGAGAAAAACAGCAACTCTTGTCTGAAAAACTAGAGAGAGCGACAGAGAGAGAAAATGGATCATGGTAGGTTAATGGATGATCAAATGATGCTAGGCTCTCAAGTGTACCCCTACACGACCCAGACCCAAAATTCAAACTGCATCATCGTCAACCAGATCGATGGATCGTCATCAGGCGAAGGATCAAAACCGGTGAAGCGGAGGCGGAAGAGGAGGAGCAAAGGTTCATCAACTACCAACGAAGAAGACGTGGCAGAGATCGGAGGGATGTTGAGGAAGAGGAAGTTGACCGATGAGCAAGTGAATATGCTCGAATATAGCTTCGGGAACGAGCACAAGCTAGAGTCAGGGAGGAAGGAGAAGATCGCCGGAGAGTTAGGTCTTGACCCGAGACAGGTGGCTGTTTGGTTCCAGAACCGCCGTGCACGGTGGAAGAACAAGAAACTCGAGGAAGAGTACTCCAAACTCAAGAACCACCACGACACCGTCGTCCTCGGCCAATGTCAACTCGAGTCTCAGGTATAACTTTTATGTTTTTTTCCTTATAAAACGGAGTAAATTTAGTGATGTTTTTTTTTGTTTGCCGAAATTCATGTTGCCTGTTTTTAAAAAAAGATGAATAATTTTATCCGCTATTGGATATATATGAATTACGTGTAACTACTTTTTATAACTACATACTCAGTATAGTTTATTCGCCAATTAGTATATTTTTCAGTATTTATTACACATGTAAAATGTAGTTGAATCGAATTTTACAACTAGTAAAAATCCGGTAGCTAGCTAAAGAGACTTGTTGGGAGGGTTCCTCTAATTAAAATAGTCAATTAGACAAACAAAGGGACCACACCAACAAATATAATCAAGTGGGATATTTCGTCATCTCATTCTTATCCACCATTTAAAAAAAAACAGTTCCGTCCGTACAATCTCAGTTGGGCTCATGAGTGGCCCATTTGCAGTTGCCCACTCAGTTAATGCCACGTAAAACCTTCTCTGCATTTGGGCTGACATGCCAGAAAATATCCTCGTTTCTATTTCATGAATAATACAATTAATTTATCCAACTTTTTTTTTTTTCACATTAACTTGCATGGTACAAAACAAGAGTTTTTTTCTGTTTTTTTTTTCTTTACATAGTGATTAACAGTGGTACTAACTAATGATATGTCTTTTACTTTTGTAGATATTGAAACTAAAAGAACAATTGAGTGAAGCTCAAAGTGAAATTCGAAAACTCTCGGAACGACTTGAAGAAATGCCAACCAACAGTTCAAGTTCATCGCTTTCTGTTGAAGCCAACGATGCACCGACTGATTTCGAGCTTGCCCCGGAAACTAATTATAACATCCCATTCTATATGTTAGATAATAATTATTTACAAAACATGGAGTATTGGGATGGTTTATGTATGTACTAGATTTTATCAACTAGATATTTGGTGTTTTATTGATGCAAATCATGTTATTATAAGTAATGTAGAAATAGGTGTTGGTGAAACGGTTGTAAATGTGTCGTTTTCACTATTTATTTTAATATATTACGTTGTTTATCACTACTTCTTTTTAGTTCCATATATATATAAATCTTGACTAAAAAAACAACAAGTAACATACAGTATATTCATATTTGCTAATATGTAATGAAGAGATTATTCATGTACCGTATACAATTAGTTAGTTACCAAATAATTGTTATATATATCCAGCTGAAATAGAAAACTCTTGATTTCATTACTTATATAGGTTGTTCAAGAATTTATTAAAAATCCTGTATAGATAAAGTTCCTTTTTTTTGTCAACCAGATAAAGGTGTTATTAAAGATGGAGGTAGAACGAAATTTATTAGAACTAAAAATTAAAGGACTAAGATAAATTTATGTAATCTAACAGTACATTCATGTTAATTTATCAAATAAATCACCGTGAAAAGGATCAGAAAAAAACCTAAAATTTTAGTTTCTTCCTTCATAAATATTTATTTTGGTCAACAATCTTTCATCTTAAGTTTTATAAATTAAATGGGTTTGAATTTGTTATTTTATTTCGTATATTTCCTTTCTTTTCCCTCCCGTTCCACATCCAGACCCCTTTTTGAAAAATATTATTTTTTCAGAAAAGACCTCCTAAGTTTATAGAGTTTACAGAAACACCCCAAAGATTTCGGGTGTATAAATAAGGAGCGTCACACTTTTACTCAGCGTCGTCTTCATCGCTCACTAGAGAAAAATGAGAGCTCGCGGGTATCAACGAGCTCCGTCAATGGAGGAACCAACGGAGATTCCGACGGATAAGACGCTTCATCCAAATTACCCATTTCTGATGTCCTCTCATGGTCTCAAGTCCTTTGAATCGGACGACGACGACGACGACGACTCAAACCTCGAGTCCAACGATCAATTCGCTTTCAGTATCAGCACAGACTTGCTTGTCGATGTCAAAGACGTATCTATAGAGGAAGTAATCGGCGAAGGTTCATCTTCTATAGTCTACAAAGGATTGTGGGTTTCTCGTTTCTCAATTGCTTCTGGGTTTTGATGAAGCAAAATGCGATTTTGTGTTCCTCTCTTGATTTCAGTATTTATTTGCTTTCTCCCATCGTTTTAGGTTTCAGGGTATATTGGTGACTGAATTTTGGGTTTAACCTTGAAAAGTTAGGGTCTCCGGAAAGATGGTTTCTTTTGTGATTTGTGTTAACCTGTGACAGTCTTCAAGGACAAGGGTTTTGTCACTCTTATGTTTCTTTCAAAATTCGATAAAGTTTTTCTCAAATGTTAGGAGCAAGTGTTTATGTAGTCTAAGCTCTAATGTTTCCTACACAATGCCTCCAACTTTTTTAAATGAAAGGATAAATTAAACACTCAATCTGTTACATAAGAAGGGAGTTTCTGAGATTTTAGTGCTCCATGAGAATGTTTGAATGAGTAATATCTTTGTAGTGTGGTATAGTTGTTATTGATTCTTGGAATTTGCATTTGGGTTAAAGAACATTTCTCTATCGATGATTATAGGTTCATGAGATTTATCCCTGTGTCTGTGAAGATATTCCAGCCTAAAAGAACATCTGCTGTAAGCATTGAGCAGAAGAAGAAGTTTCAAAGAGAGGTTTTGCTGCTTTCCAAGTTTAAACATGAAAACATTGTGCAGGTAATATGGAGCTTTTGATGTTTGATTGTTTTCATATGTTAGCCTTTTCCCGTAGGTCGTCATTGGTAGGTTCCTAATGTATTGTTAGTAGTTGAGATCCAAAGTTGATGAGATCCTTTTGATGACAGTTCATTGGGGCGTGCATAGAACCAAAGTTGATGATAATTACTGAACTCATGGAAGGCAATACTCTTCAGAAGTTTATGCTAAGTACTCGTCCAAAGCCTCTTGATCTGAAGCTCTCGATTAGCTTTGCATTGGATATTGCTCGGGGAATGGAGTTCTTGAATGCAAATGGCATCATTCACCGCGATTTGAAACCAAGTACAATTATTCATTTAGTTAAACTGAGATATCACGAAATGAGGAATCAAGATTTGTGAATTGAGGAAGATTGGTTTTTGTGCAGGTAACATGCTCTTAACAGGTGATCAGAAACGTGTAAAGCTGGCTGATTTTGGGCTTGCTAGAGAGGAGACTAAAGGTTTCATGACCTATGAGGCTGGTACATATAGATGGATGGCTCCAGAGGTGGGTGTTTCAAGTTTCTTGATACTTGATCAGATTTAAAATCTTTTCTTGGTTTGACATGACGTTTGTTTATTTGTTTCTCAGCTATTCAGCTATGACCCGCTTCAAATTGGCGAAAAGAAACACTACGATCATAAGGTGGACGTTTACAGTTTCGCCATTGTTTTCTGGGAGTTACTTACCAACAAAACCCCATTCAAAGGAAAGAACAACATCTTTGTCGCTTATGCTGCCAGCAAAGTAAGTAAGCCATAATTTAAACTCAAAATCACATGAACATGGATTGATCAAGTATTTTAATTTCTGCAGAACCAGAGACCAAGTGTGGAAAATCTTCCAGAAGGAGTTGTTTCTATCCTGCAATCATGCTGGGCAGAGGATCCTGACGCCCGTCCTGAGTTTAAAGAGATTACAGTTTCACTAACAAACTTGCTCAGAAGCTTAAGCTCAGACACTGATGCCACTTCATCCAATAGCAAAACCAATGTAGCTACCGAGGATTCAACAAGCAGTCTGGTTCAAGAACGTGTTGTCTGTGATTGTCCCGGACTAAAGATGACCAAGACGAAGAAGCTGAAGAAGAAGACGAATAAAGTGATGAATATGATCGTTCCTTTTCTCAGGATCTTCAAAAGTTGTATGTCCAAGTGATGGAAGTAGAAACGATGGTAAAAGATAAAAGGTATAGCAATACGAACTTGACAGAGTAAAACGAAAGAAAAATGGTTAGGCTTCGTTTTTTGTTCTTTTTGGTTTGGTATCTCAACAGAAATTGTTGAAAAATAGTATGCCTACTAGTTAGTGTCTGGAATCGAAGAATATATGTCGTATAAATAATAGTTGATCATCAATTCATCATAATATACTCTATAAAGGATAATTATTCTGTCAAATTTTATTTGTGCATTTTCACCTAAATTAGGCACAATTATACCAATTTTATACAGTATTTACGGATACACGTTTCACAACGATAGCTAAACTATATTTTGATTCCGTGAAAATACGTGACACATAAATTGATATGACCGTAACAAAATTTAAAAACAAAAACAACAAAAAAGAAAGAAAAAAAAGGTATCGTCAGATTTTGGCGGGATTGGACCGTTTAAACAGAAGATCAGTTTGGTCTCTTAAGATGAGGTGACGTAAGAAACGACGACAGTTATGTCATCAAGCTTTCCTCCGTAATACCTGTAGCCAGCCTCCTGAGCTGCAGTCGCGAAAGGGCTCTGCCGTTTTTTGTCGACTGCTCTCTGACGTGCCAAATCTGCAATCTTCTGAGCTGTAGCTTTCGGGTCTAAACCGGCCCTCACTGAACTAACCACCACTCCGGTGATCTCTTCATTATATAGATTATCATACACACCGTCAGTTCCAGCGACAATCACATCTCCGGACTCAACATCTATTGTGAATACCTGATTCATATACCCGCCACTTTTAGAGTGTGTTCAATCCGTATAACCCGAACCAAAACCGAAAACAAGAATGTGTCCTAAACATGGTCTTATTAAGCTTTGTGAGGATGAATAAGCCTTTGAAACTGACCTGACCGGAGCTAGGGACATCGGCACTGTTTCCACTCTCTAATTGATAAGTGAAGTTGAACCCATGCTGCTGAACCGGAGACTGAAACACTGTGGTTCCCTCTCTAACCACCGTGAATCCACTGTCTCCGAGATTAATCGCGTGTAATCCCTTGCACAAGGAGACCAAACACTTTTCAACAGAAGGTACCGGGAAATACAGTTTTTGTTCATTCAGAAGCAAAACTCTGTGAGCTAACTAACCTTATCTGTTAAAGCGATGATACAAGCCGTGGATGAGCCTTTGGCTCTGGTTTGAGAATGTGCTTTCTCTAGCACCAATAACGGGTCGATAGAAGAACCTTTATGTTGTTCTTGAATCGCTGATACTGAATAAGACATAAGCTCACGCGAAAACAGTCCGGCATTAACACCAACCTCTGCCCAACCGCCAACTCCATCTGCAACTCCAATAGCTTGTTCTTCATCGCAGATAAAGTGAGCGTCTTCTCCACCTGTAGCTTCCTTTTCAGGATGCGGGAGATAACATGACCCCGACACTAGCCTTAGACTCCTAGTCAAAAATCAAAACATCGAAATCAATTGTTTTTTCCTCTGTAACAAAAAGATTTAGAAAGTGTAAAAGAACTTACTTAAGAGATGTAGTAGTTGGTGGTGACTCTTGAGAACCACCACCGTTAAGAGAAGACAGCTCATGAGCCGGTCCAACCGAGAAACAAGCCATAGGAGATGTATGAACACTCTTAGTCAATGTCCCAAACAATGCACGACTCTTTTCGAGCGACTCAATGGCAGAATAGTGACAAACCAATCGATTCTTCGTGATTCCCACTCTCTTCCCAAGTCTCATACTAGCTACAGGACAATTAATGGTGAAGCTACCACCACTAGAACGCTTCTTAGTGAAGTCTAAGCCATTTGAACAAGTTGTAATCAAATCATCCAAGCAAGCGTCTCCAAACACTGGCAAAGAACCAGAAGCAGCCATGGCTTGACGAAACCGAGAGCTATCAGAAAACAATCTCCTTCCACCGGAATTGGAGAAGAAGCTCTTACTTTTACCAGCAACAATTCTTTGAAACCCAAATTGAGAAACAGGGTTTAATCTCGAGAGAGCAGTCGCTGACATCTGAATCAACAATTAAAAAAAAAACCATAAATTCAAACTATAGTTATTACACTAACAACACAGAAATCAAGCATGAATCTTAATAACCTATAATCAATAAAAGGAAAGGTTTTTAGCAAAATTGAACGAAGCTACACCAAAATCAACGGACTATAAAACAATACCCAATTCAAAATACTTGAGAAAGAGATGAATTATTACCGAATTCTTCACTCTTTAGGAACTTTTTCCGTCTTCTTCTTCGCCGGAATTAGGTATCGAGAAGAGAGGAATATATAAAGACCTCTAGTTTTCCGCTACCTACCTGCAGCTTGCGAGCTCCTCCGTAAAATTCATTAGCCGATGAGGGCAAAATCGGAAATTTGACTTGCTTGTTCGTGTTCAGTTTTCGATGTCGAAAATTCTCAGCTAATCGCCGCACAATAATTGAATGGACTTGAACCTGATATTTAAGGCCCAATAGTAATAAGCTTGTGGACTTGAGTAATCTTCACTCTTCAGCATAATGAGCTTGAAATATCTATGGCCCATTAAGAAACATTTCACAGTCCACCCTAATAGGCTTCTCACTTCTTGGTGTACACAGATTTCAAACCAATTTTAATATATAACAAACTACACAAATAATCATCCTTTTTTGGGTTTAAAAACAATCATTGCTTGAATCAAAGTATATCAATATTGATCATTTAAAGTCACTAATCTTAGTTAGTGATTTCTGTTAACCTTGTCACTATATAGATTTAGTACGGTAAATATGATGTGGGTAAATTATCTTGCTCTCCAAAAGAAAATAAGAGACATAAGTGACTTTTTGGGTTGAATTGTCATGATAATTCCATCACTATAATGGACCTACGTAGCGATTGAAACATCAAAATCCAAAATCTTTGGTCGGTTCTCCAATCAAATCATACTGGTCAAGTCGATTGGTGGTATTATTTCAAATTATCTGGCCAGAATTAGACTATTTTTAGTTGTGTAAGTTTTTAGACAAATTTCACCACATTCCAAAAGAATTATCACTTTTGGGAGAAGTCAAGTCAATCTCATCCACGAATTGTTCCCATTAATGCAAAAATTCGATTCAGCGTTTTAAGACAGCAAGCAACACACAATAATAGAAACTTCAAACCCCATTCATTGTTTTCACATGGAACTTATGGTAGAGACATAACCAGTATTAGACCAAGATTTGTAACCATCTGTAATAGTTTAGCCGTCATGTCGAAACCCGAATTCAAATTCTCTCTCAAAGTACAACATCATGCGAGTTATAATAAACCACACACAAACAAAAAAACAATATATTTTTGTAGTTGTTGCTGGGAGATTTATGTACTTGAGAGAAAACCCACATTGGGAATAAAACTAAAGCTTTCACTAAAACAAGATACCAAAAGATCTACAACCTGATACAAACTTGATAAAAAACTATATACTACACTGTTCTACTACGTTCATGCCTTTGTCTCTCTTACGAACTTCTACCAATGTCTTTCCCTGAAAACTCCCCAGATCCAAACAGATCTATTCCACCGCCACCGCCTATAGAAGTTAACAGAGCAGACAATCCGCCTCCGGTATTACCGCCATTACCAACAGCTCTTCCTAATCCGAGAAAGTCGAGTGTCGTCTGTTTCGGACCAAACACCGACGAATTCCCCATCATGAGCTCTTTTAGACCCGATCCGCTACCACCGCTGCTACACGGTAGTCCAAGTCCAAGACCAGGAGCTAATGACAACGCATCGTGATTGCTGAGTTCCATTGATGAAGAAGTAGTTGAAACTATGCCTAACCCGCGAAGCAACGAACCTCCTGATCCCGTGGAACCCATTTGGGCAGCTTTCTGGAGCAATGCGGTAGCTGACATTGCTGGTTGAGGAGGAAGAGGAGTTAGGAAATGAGGCGGATCTTGTATTGTTGGTCCGAACAAAGAAGGATTCGTCGAGAGACGGAGAGAGATGGGTTCCAAGGAGGAAGATGGTGCGAATAGACTTGGAGAAGCGGTTGAGGAAGCATATAAACTAGGCGAAGCTGTTGATGATACAAACAAGCCTGCGTATTTACTGTGATCGTTGCTTAGATCGGATGAGCTAACATTGAAACCGATCGTTCTTGAAGCTTCCTCGATTATGACATCAGGGTGATTGTTGTTGTCTGGAGATTCTACAAACAAAAAGAAAGTGAGTGATGATGAGTGATGGGTATAAACTTTGAGGCCTTAGATCTAATTATAAAATATAAATTATGGGCTTATAACTATGGAAGACGAAGAACACTTATTTCACAGACAAGTTCGACGATCAGAAATATAACGGCGCTACAGACAAAACCAACTAAACTCCAAGATCACCGACCAGTTTACATATAGAGTTTTTAAAGAGTTATTGGTTCGGTTAGAGAATTGAGAAATTGTTACATGTAGCGACAAAACTTAATCCAAAATTGCCAAATTTTCCAATCAAGCAGATAGATAGTATTATGTACCTGGAGAATTCTGAATCGGCAAAACCGAGGAAGATATAATTTTGACTGGCTCAGACTCAACCGAAATAGCCGGTGCCGGAGCTAAAGCAACCGATGGCGGAGAAGAAGGCGGTAGCGACGGAGAAGATTCAACAACGGGTGGAGATTTATGCTCAAATTCAGGATTCTTCCTTTTGACATTTTCTGGATAAAGTTTCTTGCTTTGAGTATGATTCTTCGCACTCTCTTCAGCCAACGCATCACAGAAAGCTCTATGCGTTATAAAGCTATCTCTCCTGCAACAAAACCCAATCCACAAGTTAGTAAAATCCATAAGAAAGATCAAATCTTTTTGAGGGTTTAACAAAAATCGCACCTAGAAAACAGAGTTCCACAATCGCATTTATACTCCTTAGTGCCACAAATCTTCGCATGAGCTTTCCAATCTGATTGAACAGCATACTTCTTAGAACATTTCTCACACTTGAATTTCTTCTCACCGTGTTTCCGACAAAAGTGTTTCTTGATTCCAGTAAGATCTCCAAGAGCACGTGACGGGTCATGATGGACACAGCCAGAAACAGGACAAACATAAACCTTCTTCCTCACTTCTTTACTCGATCTCTGTCTAAGTTTCCACGGAAGATTGTGACCACGACGATGAAGCTGAAGATTCTGGTCACGTTGAAAACCTTTGTTACAGATTTCGCAAACGAATCGATTCGTTGCCATAAGTGTTTTAGGTGACAAAGCTATCACTTCCGCGTCTGGATCTAAAATTTATATCCCCAAAAAAAGACAAAACAATCAGTGAAACAACTAAAAACAAAAAAATTGCAAAATCAGAAACAAAAGTTTGGATTTTGGAAAAAGTTACCAGGCATTCCGGGAAGATTCCGTTTCTTCTTCCCGACGGATTTGGGAGTCTGATTTTGGTTTCCGGTCGATGAGACGCTTGCATCGCCGGAAACTGTAGACGAATTATCTAAATCAACCGGCATGTGTAAAAGATACTAAATTCAATCTTTTTTTCCCCTTCACAAAAAAAAGAAGCAAATCTCAGCTCAGCTCAATCTAGGGTTTATCATCCTCCTACTCTGTTTAGTCTCTCTCTCTCTCTCTCTCTCTTCTTCAGCTACCAGTCAATCTGCTTTTCGTAAAAATCTCCTTTTTTTCCTCTTTCCGCCACCAAACTTTTCTGATAACTCTCTCTCTGACCTCTCTCTTCTTCTTCTTCAAACAAAAAAAAATCAACTCTTCATTACCCAAGAGATCCCATAATCATTTAACCCAGACTCGCTTCTTTTATCAACCGATCTGATCCAACGGCTGAGATTCCACCGGAGATGAGTTATCCTTACTACTTCCGGCTTGTTTCTCTCTGAAGAATCACCGAAGATAAATAAAGGCGGCTTGTGTGAGAGACTTTGTGTGAAAGCTTCAACTTTTTTTTTTCTTTGGCTTGTCCAAGAAATAGGAGCCTTCTCCTTCTCTTCTCTCTCTGTGGAGACAATTATACTATTTTTTTCTTCTCAACTTTTCTCCATTTTTTTATTTTAAATGATTTTTAACCAGCATTTTTTAAAAATAATTGTGTCGACTTTCAACTTTCAAGTTCCAAGTATCTAAATCTGAATTTTGGACTCCCATGCAAATAATTAAATTAGAATAACCTTTTCTGTTTGGTTTGATTTTAAAATTGAAAACGGTGTAAAAAGGTTAAAGGCACCAAACAAGACGAGTAAAAAGATATTGTAATAATTTTTTCACCTTTTTATGGAAAAGATTAATATCATAGACGATGGTGTGTACTGAGAAAAATCAAAAATGGCATGTGAATATGCAGTACCCAATGAATGCAATATCAGGTTTTTATTATTTTTCTAATGTACATACATGTTACGTAATCAACTGATCAAGTAATTTATTAATATCGTCGATGGCCACAAAATTTCTAGAAATTATAATTTTTATTTTATGTCATTGTTTACTACATAGATATTTCTTTTTAAGATTGGGTTTAGTATTTCCAAAATTAATCTAAGTAGCTTAGCTTAGGAACATGTTAAACGTATTTTATATTTACATTTTACTAACAAAAAAATTATAAGAAAACGCGTGAGTCGAAAAATTATTTTACTGTCACTGTCCTTAGACGGGGACAAAGGAGGGTATTTATTTACCGTCGCGTTGTCGGACCGTAAAATAATTTACCAACTTTTGTTGTTGAACGAATAACAATTTTACTGTGGGAATTTGTCGTGTAGCAATATGTTCGAAATCGCAATTTGTTTTCTTCTTCGTGGGTATTTCTGGTTAACGAAACTATAACCCAATTTAATGCAGTGTTCGTCTGTTTTTTCTGACTTTGACCTTTTTTTGGTATTATTCGTTTAGCTTTTGTTTTAACGTTTTCATGCCTTGTAGGCATCTGAGATGCTCAGATTCTGACACGTGTCCTTTGTTATCTGAATTTGCATCCGTTGGATAAACATGACGACGACAGGTGGATGAAAAAAGTAACACTAACCAGCTTGGATTTCTGCGTTTTGTTACACCGCCACTCTCCTTAATTTTTTCCTTCTTAATTAAAATTAAATGATAACTATATTACTAAAAGACTTAAGATAAGTAGATAACCTTTGATTATTAATTTGCATTAAGACTTGAGATTAAATTCGAATTTGTAAAAAGCTAGTACACAGTAATGTTCGTTTTATACAAAATATGCCATTAAAACTAGCATTTGACTTTACAAGCATTGAAATTAATTAATTTTGGGGCCCCTTTATAATGGCTTTTCTTGTTAGTTTCAAAGGAAGAATTATTTTAGGCTGAGATGGGTCCCTCCATAGACTCACTATTCTGCCAGCATACAAATTCCTTAACATATGGTCCAAATAACAGTTCCAACCACTAGTATCCAATAATAATCTAAACAAAATTATCAATTTTTTTTTGTTTTCTGATAATCTTGTATTTGTTTGTTCAATGAGAGCTTAATACGTATATTAGTTGTTACTAAATACTTTGACTCTCTTTATCCGAAGTCCGTACACATTGATTGCGTTTATTAAATCCGAACAACGTAATGATCTTTTTGGGCCGAATTATTCGTATTTTTAACCTAAGTCCAACCATATTTTAAGGGCTTTCTGTTTATTTTTGCATGTAAAATTTAAAATGTTTGCAAATAACCAAATATTGTATGAATGTAATTATTATTTTTCTGTTTTCACGTTATTTTTGAAATTGCTATTGCGTGTGATATTTGGGTTGGACCAATTATTGAAAAGGACAAGGCTGACTCTGGTTTTTAATGAGTAGTCCCCATGGGAGTTATGTATCATTTACTACACATTATTTATTTCAGTAGTATATTTGATATCTTTTATCTACGGAAATAAATGGTTCAAATTGTTTGTCTAAAAATGCACCCATGAATAGCTTGTGGTTTCACACAATTGTAGGAAACAAATAAATACTTGTTAAGAGAATAATGTTATTAATTTATCATACGAATCCTATAGAAAAGGGCGGCCAAAGACCAAACAAATGAATTTAAAATATGAAAATGATGGAATGACTGATTTTTATATAAAGAATAATACTACAGTAACATTTTATAAAACGAATCCTAAAGAAGAGGGCAACACAAGACCACGCAAATCAGTCTAAAATGAAAATTTCCAATAACTTAAAAACGTGTGCATTAAAGTGAGTTATATATTTTCCATAATTCGGGATTTTACATGGAAATTTTATCTAATGAGCGCCAATATCATTTAGTCACTTTTTTTCCTTTCCAAAATTATTCGGATCCATGCATGCTATATAACTATGTCCATCTTACTTGTCTCTATGTTACACCTTCAACGTCGTATATAGGGATTGTTGTCAAGAACACAATGCTAATTAAGGAGTAAGGACGATTATGGCTTCTCGAAAATTAAATTAGAGAAGAACTAAGAGTCTGAAACGAAAATAGCCTAAAACAAAGGAGAACCACAAATATAAATCGGAAGACCTTAAAGAACAATTATACGAGGACGGAACAAATTTTGGAATCATCAATATACCAAAAAGGAAAAAAAAAAGGTTTCATGAATCACAGTCGGGCTGACAATCTTCGAACCATTTGTGGGTTTCATACAATCGATCACCAATAGAACAAAAGAGAAACAGAGGAACAGAAAGAACAGAAGGAGTGGGAAGTGTATGAGGAAGCTGTGTCCGAATATAGACAAGGACGATGGTTTGGAGACGGTGTTGGAAGTTCCGATACCGGAGGAGATGTTTTCCGGTATGGGCAACAACGTTGCGCTTAGGTGGCAAAATATGATGACGTGGATGAAAGCTCAAACGTCTGATAAATGGTCGCAACCCCTTATCGCCGCTCGTATCAATGAGCTCCGGTTTCTTCTCTACCTCGTTGGCTCGCCTCTTATACCTCTCCAGGTTCAAGTCGGTCATTCTGTTCATAAGCCCGTCAAAGATTGCTCCATTGTAAGTAATTCAAAATCAGTCTTTATGATAACATAACGAACATGTTGAAAATATGATTCCTCTGTTTTTTGTATCCTTTATGATTAAAAGCCAAAAAAGTCATTAATCTGCTTCGTAATAATTCAACATAAAGTTGTTAATCCATGTGTACACTACATTACATTATTCTTCGGACACAAGAGTCATCAACTTCAGTTTCATTTTTTGTCGTATGAATACGATTGCAGCAAGCTTCAACGGCAAAATACATTGTACAGCAGTACATAGCAGCGACGGGAGGACCAGCGGCGTTAAACGCCGTGAACAGCATGTGTGTCACGGGACAAGTGAAGATGACGGCGTCGGAGTTTCATCAAGGAGATGAATCCGGCGTGAATCTTAAGAGCAACGACGAAATGGGTGGTTTCGTTTTGTGGCAAAAGGATCCAGATCTTTGGTGTTTGGAGCTCGTCGTCTCCGGTTGTAAAGTGATATGTGGAAGCAACGGTCGGCTTTCATGGCGACATTCCTCTAACCAGCAAACTCCGGCGTCTACCGGAACGCCAAGACCTCTCCGCCGGTTTTTACAGGTACAGATCCGGTTCTTGAAAATTTTGATGTAATACCCGGTTATCGAAATGTTGAACCGGTGGTTTATTATTGTTGACTAAGGGGTTAGATCCTCGTTCGACGGCGAATCTGTTTCTTGACGCAACGTGCATCGGAGAGAAGATAATCAACGGTGAAGATTGCTTTATCTTGAAACTGGAGACGAGTCCGGCGGTTCGAGAAGCTCAAAGCGGTCCGAATTTTGAGATAATTCATCACACGATTTGGGGATATTTCAGTCAAAGATCGGGACTTTTAATTCAATTCGAAGATTCGCGACTTTTGAGAATGAGGACCAAGGAAGACGACGATGTTTTCTGGGAGACTAGTGCTGAGTCGGTGATGGATGATTACCGATACGTTGACAATGTGAACATCGCTCACGGCGGGAAAACGTCGGTTACGGTTTTCCGGTACGGTGAAGCGTCGGCGAATCATCGGAGACAGATGACGGAGAAGTGGAGGATAGAAGAAGTTGATTTTAATGTTTGGGGTCTCTCGGTTGATCATTTTCTTCCTCCCGCCAATTTGCAGATTGAAAAAATGATTTAGCTTTTTATTATTTTTTTTTTGTCATTCGTTTTCGCCGATATCACAACTTTTTGAGAAATATCATCAACTCACTCGATGCAATTGAGATATTCTTGACTCCGGAAATATTGACAATTTTTGTATTGAAAGTTGCAATTTTTTACTACTCTACTGGATCGGACCCGTTGTGGTATCGTTTTCAAAAGTGTATAGTTTAAAAATGTCTGGACGATAGCAATAGAACATATGAACATTTAAGTTTTGTATTAGTGTGGTGACTATTTATTACCATACGTAAGTTTTTGTGATGTGAAAAGTCAATTCTTTTATAGGACGATACGATTTTTTTGTGGGACAAAATAGAGAGGATTGTCACAATTATCACAATGCTTTAGCGTGAGTTAGTTTTTGAGGATTTATTTTCTATCCAAAATGGTGACTATTTATTACTAGAAGTAAGTTTTTATTGTGTAACGAGTCAATTCTTTTGTGGGATAAAATGGAGCGAATTGTCACAATTACCACAAAATGCTTTCATGTGAGTTAGTAACCATGACAAATAAACATTTTTCTTTCCTAAATGGTGACTATTTATTACAAGAAGTAAGTTTTTGTGGTGTGACGAATCAATTATTTTGTGGGACAAAATGGAGCAGATTGTCACAAATCACATAATGACCTATTGTGAGTTAGTTTCCATGACAAAAATGCATTTTTCTATCTTAAATGGTGACTATTTTTTACTAGAAGTAAGTTTTTGTGGTGTGACAAGTCAATTTTTTTAGGACGAAACGATCTTTTTGTGGGACAAAATAGGACGAATTGTAACAATTACCACAAAATGCCCTGATATGAGTTAGTTTCCACGGCAAAATAAGTTAAAGGAAGGTCATGGATACTATGAAGGGCGTAGGCGTTCAAGCCATTACGAGTAGTACGAGCATGCTGAGGAACAAGGAGCTGAGACTGACCGTTATAGTTAGTACGGGGAGTCGGGGACCGTTATGATTAAGTGGAGGAAGACGAACACTGTTATGACGATCACGACTACAAACGGTATGAACGATCAAAATAGCGTGAATATTGATCTGACATCAGATAACGTTTTTTATTTTCTTCATAGTGATAACAATAAATATCACAATCTGGTGTCCGATGAAACTTGTATGAATCTCTTGCCTACCTATTACAAAACCATTTATCGTTTTAGCTTGAAAGCTTTTGAAATGTTAACCTCTACATTAATATACGAAAAAATAGGTGATAATTAATATTATCACTACTTAATGCCCATACATGTTTTTTTTTAATTTTTAGTTTAATAATACGATCTTATGTCCAAAATCGTAAATAAGGGGAAAATTTTTAGGGGTAAAACTGTCATTTCATGCTTCCCGCCCATTGGCGCTACTCCCGATTTAATAAACAATTAGAAAATAGGCGTAAATGTGAGAGTGTGTCTTTTCATTATACCCTCGTTTTTGAATTTGCTCTCCAAAAGCGACGGAGACTGTTCAGCTCGGTGGTTTCTCCCGCCGTTTGGGTTTTTCTTACCGGAATTTCCTTCTCCTTCGATGGTTAGTCTGCGCTCCAAAAAAATCACTCCGTAAGTCTCTCACCTTTCCTTTTCGTTTCTTTATATCCGGCGATTTTCTGGGTCCTTAACGCTCTCGAAATCGCTCGCTGTTCTTGGGTTTTGTTTTGTTCTCGCTCTGCGTAATTTTGCCTGTCGTGTTTTGGATTATATTCTCTGATGATTGGTCTCGCTGGTTATTTACCATTTCCCGATTTTGGATTTTTGAACTCTTAGGGCTTCGGAAATGGTCAGCGACGGGAAAACGGAGAAAGATGCGTCTGGTGATTCACCCACTTCTGTTCTCAACGAAGAGGTTTGTTCTGGGTTTTACTCTTTACCCTTCGTAGTTTGGTTGCTTGGTGAGACCTTTGAATAATAATAATTAGAAAAAGTTTGTTTGCTCTTTTTCCCTTTTTATTCTTCTAGGAATGTGAAACTTTGTGTGTTACTTTTTTGTTTCTTTAGATCTGGGTTTTCTGTAAATGGGTATTGCTTTCACTACTTGATTTGGTCCTTTTTCTGGATGTGAAGGAAAACTGTGAGGAGAAAAGTGTTACTGTTGTAGAGGAAGAGATACTTCTAGCCAAAAATGGAGATTCATCTCTTATTTCTGAAGCCATGGCTCAGGAGGAACAGCAGCTGCTCAAAATTCGGGAAGATGAAGAGAAAGCTAACAATGCTGGATCTGCTGTTGCTCCTGATCTGAATGAATCTCAGTTTACTAAACTCGATGAGCTCTTGACGCAAACTCAGCTCTACTCTGAGTTTCTCCTTGAGAAAATGGAGGATATCACTATTGTAATCTTCTTTATTTCCTTCTTCTTTTTGGTTTCTCACTTTTGGAATGGGAGTCATTTTTCTTATTTTTGACTACTTGTGGGTGAAATTTGTTTTGCTAGAATGGGATAGAAGGTGAGAGCCAGAAAGCTGAGCCCGAGAAGACTGGTCGTGGACGCAAAAGAAAGGCTGCTTCTCAGTACAACAATGTTGGTTCCATATATAATTTGCATCTACGATGCATGATCTTGTATATATATATATATTTTTTTTTCTGCTTGTTTGGGAGAGTAACTTACTTGGATATTGTTGGATGCTTTTTTCTTCAATCAGACTAAGGCTAAGAGAGCGGTTGCTGCTATGATTTCAAGATCTAAAGAAGATGGTGACACCACCAACTCAGATCTGACAGAGGAAGAAAGAGTCATGAAAGAGCAGAGTGAACTATGTCCTCTTCTCACTGGTGGACAGTTAAAGTCTTATCAGCTTAAAGGTGTTAAATGGCTAATATCATTGTGGCAGAATGGTTTGAATGGAATCTTAGCTGATCAAATGGGACTTGGAAAGACAATTCAAACGATTGGTTTCTTATCACATCTGAAAGGAAATGGGTTGGATGGTCCATATCTAGTCATTGCTCCACTGTCTACACTTTCAAATTGGTTCAATGAGATTGCTAGGTACTACTCTCTTGACCATGTGTGCTTGTATAGATGCAAAGCTTTGGGGTTTCTGTTGAAAGTTTTCTTCCCTTGTTGATTAGGTTCACACCTTCCATCAATGCAATCATCTACCATGGGGATAAAAAACAAAGGGATGAGCTCAGGAGGAAGCACATGCCCAAAACTGTTGGTCCGAAGTTCCCTATAGTTATTACTTCATATGAGGTTGCTATGAATGATGCTAAAAGAAATCTGCGGCACTATCCATGGAAATATGTTGTGATTGATGAGGTAATTTTCGAGATTGGCTAATGTCCTAGGCTTTGAAGATCAAGATGATCCTTCTAACTGTTTCTTTTGTTCTTGTATATTATAGGGCCACAGGTTGAAAAACCACAAGTGTAAATTGCTGAGGGAACTAAAACACTTGAAGATGGATAACAAACTTCTGCTGACAGGAACACCTCTGCAAAATAATTTGTCTGAGCTTTGGTCACTGTTGAATTTTATTCTGCCTGACATCTTTACATCGCATGATGAATTTGAATCATGGTACAAACATGGTCCTTTTCTGCAATTATCGCTAACCAGTCTTTCTGTTTTTTTTATTTGTTAAAACTGGTGGCAGCTTTTTGACATTTATTCCTTTCTAAGTATCTTACTGATAGAATGAGTCTCTACAGGTTTGATTTTTCTGAAAAGAACAAGAACGAAGCAACCAAGGAAGAAGAAGAGAAAAGAAGAGCTCAAGTATGAACAATTATGTCAATTTTACTAGGTTTCTTTGATTGTATTTATGTCTCATGCGAAGAGTATATTTTTGCCTAGGTTGTTTCCAAACTTCATGGTATACTACGACCATTCATCCTTCGAAGAATGAAATGTGATGTTGAGCTCTCGCTTCCGCGGAAAAAGGAGATTATAATGTATGCTACAATGACTGATCATCAGAAAAAGTTCCAGGATCATCTCGTGAATCACACGTTGGAAGCACATCTTGGAGAGAATGCTATCCGAGGTACTTGATCTTCTTTGTTTTTATGCTTTTTGTTTGATTATGTCATTTTCTGCATTGCTTTGTTCATCCCTTATACTTCAGGTCAAGGCTGGAAGGGAAAGCTTAACAACCTGATGATTCAACTTCGGAAGAACTGCAACCATCCTGACCTTCTCCAGGGGCAAATAGATGGTTCATGTATGTCAGTGTCTTTTAAGAAACGTAAGGAAAACTTTTGTCTTACTGATCTGTCTAATTTATTCATTTCGCGACAGATCTCTACCCTCCTGTTGAAGAAATTGTTGGACAGTGTGGTAAATTCCGCTTATTGGAGAGATTACTTGTTAGGTTATTTGCCAATAATCACAAAGTATGTTTCACAAACCCATGGCTCGTAACTCATTTCCCTTTGAGAACAACTCTGATCCATTTGCTGATGACCAGGTCCTAATCTTCTCCCAGTGGACGAAACTTTTGGACATTATGGATTACTATTTTAGTGAGAAGGGGTTTGAGGTTTGCAGAATCGACGGCCAAGTGAAGCTGGATGAAAGGAGAAGACAGGTTTCACCTGTGCTTATGCTTTGCTTTTAAGCAATATTCTGACCAAATATTATAACCATAAGGTCTATCTCTCTCTACCTTGAAACAGATCAAAGATTTCAGTGATGAGAAGAGCAGCTGTAGTATATTTCTCCTCAGTACCAGAGCTGGAGGACTCGGAATCAATCTTACTGCTGCTGATACATGCATCCTCTACGACAGTGACTGGGTAATCAAATCAATTAATTTTCTTTGAAGGAATTTCTTTCGCTTTCATGTTGTCTCCAACTGTGTTTTGTCTGATCTCCAGAACCCTCAAATGGATTTGCAAGCCATGGACAGGTGCCACAGAATCGGGCAGACGAAACCTGTTCATGTTTATAGGCTTTCAACAGCTCAGTCGGTAGAGGTAAAACTCTTTGTTGTTCATATCAATCTATCTTAACTCCAAATCAATGAGATTGTTGCCTCATGAGATTGGTTTATGACACTTGCACAGACCCGGGTTCTGAAACGAGCGTACAGTAAGCTCAAGCTGGAACATGTGGTTATTGGCAAAGGGCAGTTTCATCAAGAACGTGCCAAGTCTTCAACGCCTCTAGAGGTTTAATTTCTCTCAGAACTCAAATCCTTTTTATATACACTTAATAAAAGCGTAATCTTCTACAAAAAGCTTGAACCAAACTTAACACACAGGAAGAGGACATACTGGCGTTGCTTAAGGAAGATGAAACTGCTGAAGATAAGCTGATACAAACCGATATAAGTGATGCGGATCTTGACAGGTTGCTTGACCGGAGTGACCTGACAATTACTGCACCGGGGGAGACACAAGCTGCTGAAGCTTTTCCAGTGAAGGGTCCAGGTTGGGAAGTGGTCCTGCCTAGTTCGGGAGGAATGCTGTCTTCCCTGAACAGTTAGGACTCATTAAATCACGCATTGAAATCACTTCAGTGTGGCTTTTGTCTTTTTTTCCAGAACATGACCGGTTACTTTTGGCTGGAAGGATTTGATTATTAGAGGGCTCGGAAATTTTTGTAAGTTAAAGAACTCACTTAAAACCCTGAAAACATGAGAGTTAAAGGTGATTAGCTCTCTATGTGATGAAAACAATTGGCCCTCTGATTTTGCAATTGCGGTAATATTATTACTCAATGCTAGTGTTATATAGTCTTTGTATTCTAAAATTTGGCATTAAGCTGTTTCTCATGAACTTGTGGGATGTTATGTTTTGGATTTGGGCTTTGTTAACTTATGTGATTAGGCTCAATCGGTTCGTAGAATATAAAAAAACATTGAGTAGGGTTAGAAATAAATTTAAAAAGCTCCGATGCCGGGAATCGAACCCGGGTCTCCTGGGTGAAAGCCAGATATCCTAACCGCTGGACGACATCGGATTTGTTGTTAACGATTCTTGTAAATATTAAATATTTAGTGTTCTCGTTTTAGCATCTACTGGACTAAACATGAACACGAGACGCCGACAAGAATAAATGGGGCACCAACCATTTGGGTAAAAGTATGCATGGGGGTATTATTGACAATTTGGCCATTACAAGAGCTAATCTTAGGGGGGTTTAGTTAGTAAAGCAAACCGGTTTAGGCGTAATAATCGTGTGAGAATAGGGGTAATTAAGGGAATTTAAGAGAAGTCATCATCGTTTTCCATTTTTCTTATTTTAAGCGCCTCGGTGGCTATCTCTCACTCCGTTCGCGTCTTCCTCTTTAAGGGAACTTCCTCTACGAAAAACTAATTCGTATTCTCTCATTTCTTCTACGGAGATTTGCATCGAAGAAACTGACTCGCTTGTGGAATCATCAACAAGAAGATGTGGCGCTGCGTCTCTCGTGGCTTTCGAGCTCCTTCTTCAAAGACCTCTTCACTCTTTGATGGCGTCTCTGGATCTCGCTTTTCCAGATTCTTCTCCACCGGTTCTGTATGATCTCTCTTCCTTCTCTTTCCGTTTTGTTAATTTTCCAATTCGATCTTATGTAATTCACGAATCGTAGTTTTGTCCGCCATTCAAATGCGTTAGTAGTCGAGCAAATTGTTTAAAATCAGGGAAAATTATTCCTTCCGTTGAGTTTATTTTATATAGATTTTGATCGATTCGATTTGTGGTGTTTGTTTTTGTTACCTGTTGAGCAGACCGACACGAGATCCTCTTATACGATAGTGGATCACACCTATGACGCGGTTGTGGTGGGAGCTGGTGGTGCTGGACTTAGGGCGGCGATTGGGTTATCAGAGCATGGCTTTAACACCGCTTGCATTACTAAGCTTTTCCCCACAAGGTCACATACTGTTGCTGCTCAGGTATTTTTGGTCTATTATCAATTTTTATATGGACTTTTTTTGTTTCTTTTGTGATTGAGTTTATGATTTGGAATACAACTGTGAAGGGTGGTATTAATGCTGCACTGGGAAATATGTCCGAAGATGACTGGAGATGGCACATGTATGACACTGTCAAAGGAAGTGACTGGCTAGGTATTCTTGGTCTTCCTTTCGTTTCTTTTTCTTTTTTTAGTGAAATTGTTTTACATGTTGTAGCTCTTATGTTATGTGGTTTAGTGAATCGATAGTGAGTTCTTTCTTGTTTTTTTCTTTGTTTAGGTGATCAAGATGCTATTCAGTATATGTGTAGAGAGGCACCAAAAGCGGTCATTGAACTTGAGAATTATGGGCTGCCTTTCTCTCGTACTGAAGAAGGGAAAATTTACCAGCGTGCATTTGGGGGTCAGAGTCTTGACTTTGGAAAAGGTGAGTTGTCTAATGTCTTGCTAGTATTGATGTTCTTATTTAATTTGTTTTAATAGGTCTCTCATATTGGCTTTCTTATTATTCTACCATCAGGTGGTCAGGCCTATCGTTGTGCTTGTGCTGCGGATCGGACAGGGCATGCTCTGTTGCATACTCTCTATGGACAAGCTATGAAACATAACACACAGTTCTTTGTTGAATACTTCGCCTTGGATTTGCTCATGGCTAGTGATGGTAAGTTAACGAACATTATTTTTCTTTTACTGTCACTTCCAATAGTATTTGCCACTAGAATTCAGAAGTAGTAATTGATTTTATGAGGTGGTTGGATGGCTATTATTGACCAATTTTAGACTTAAGGGAAAGCGACTTGAAGTTAATGCAACATTATTATCTGATATGCAGGCAGTTGCCAGGGTGTAATTGCACTAAACATGGAAGATGGAACATTGCATCGTTTCCGCTCTTCACAAACAATTTTGGCAACTGGGGTGAGCTAGTTTTTATATGATACAAATTTTTGCAATAGGGAAAATATACTCACCTAGTGGCTGATATTTTTCCAGGGGTACGGCAGAGCATACTTCTCTGCAACCTCAGCACATACATGCACAGGAGATGGAAATGCCATGGTTGCACGGGCCGGTCTTCCACTGCAGGTTTCCCACCTGTTTTGTTTTTATTAAAAATGGTGTACGATGTATTTGTCTATCATTTGTATGCTAATAATCTTATTGTCTAATAAATATATGCAGGACTTGGAGTTCGTTCAATTCCATCCAACTGGTATATATGGGGCTGGATGTCTCATCACTGAAGGTTAGTATCTTGCCCTCACATACTCGAATTCGTTTGGAATATAAGGTTTAAGTGTTTTTCACAATTACATCTTTGATGTTTGCACTATATACAATTGCAGGATCTCGAGGTGAAGGAGGTATCCTTAGAAACAGTGAAGGTGAACGTTTTATGGAGCGATATGCTCCTACAGCCAAGGATCTTGCATCAAGAGATGTTGTCTCCAGATCCATGACTATGGAAATCAGGGAAGGTCGTGGTGTAGGTATGCTCCACTGAAAACTAGTTTTAATTTTCGGAGCAAACTCTCATTACGTGATTTCAAGGTGTATCAATGCTTTTGATATTGTGATTCGTCTAGTTTGATTCTCATCCTGGACAACTTTTGCTGATATCTTCCAGGACCGCATAAGGATCATATCTATCTCCATCTGAATCATCTTCCTCCAGAAGTTCTGAAAGAAAGGCTTCCTGGAATCTCTGAGACCGCTGCCATCTTCGCTGGTGTTGATGTTACCAAAGAGCCAATTCCCGTCTTACCCACGGTTCATTATAACATGGGTGGTATCCCAACAAACTACCATGGCGAGGTAAGAAAAGTCTTTTAAGAAACTTTACTGAAATTTGTGTTGAGTGAAGCATGAGATGCATTCGAAGCCTATCACTGAAAGCAATTCTGTTAAATCCTGCAGGTAGTTACCATCAAAGGCGATAATCCAGATGCAGTGGTACCTGGGCTAATGGCTGCTGGAGAGGCAGCTTGTGCATCTGTTCATGGTGCCAACAGGCTTGGTGCAAATTCACTGCTAGACATTGTCGTCTTTGGTCGTGCTTGTGCAAATAGGGTTGCGGAGATAAGCAAACCAGGTTAGTCTTTTTTGAGGATCTCGAGACTGCTATTATTATAAAAGATCAGTCTCTTCTGATCATTTTTTCCTTTATTCGATTGGTGCAGGGGAGAAACAGAAACCTCTTGAGAAGGATGCGGGTGAGAAGACTATTGCATGGCTGGACAGGTTGAGAAACTCAAATGGGTCGCTTCCTACTTCAAGTATCAGATTGAACATGCAGAGAGTTATGCAGAACAACGCAGCTGTGTTCCGCACGCAAGAAACATTGGAAGAAGGTAAACAATTATCTGAATTTGTTCTGCATGTATTTAAAGCTCTCACCTGCAACTGCAAACCATTTTCTTTACCATTTATTACCGTGAAACAATCACAGGTTGTCAGTTGATTGACAAGGCCTGGGAAAGTTTTGGGGATGTCCAGGTGAAAGATCGGAGTATGATATGGTAAGACAGACTTTATTCACATGGCATTGATTATTATACTGTTATAAAATCTGGTGAAACTCTTGTTAATCTTGGAAACTAATGAATAATTTGCAGGAACTCTGATTTGATAGAGACATTGGAACTGGAGAACCTTTTGATAAACGCTTCCATAACAATGCATTCAGCGGAAGCACGAAAGGAGAGTAGAGGAGCACATGCTCGGGAAGACTTCACGGTTTGATTCCTTCCTCAGCCTTTCCACATTGATTGATTTATGCCATAATGATGAAACCATAACATAGTATAAACGAATGTGTATGCAGAAAAGAGAGGATGGAGAATGGATGAAGCATACATTGGGATATTGGGAAGATGAGAAAGTGAGATTGGAGTATAGGCCTGTTCACATGGACACTCTCGACGATGAGATTGACACTTTCCCTCCTAAAGCTCGTGTCTATTGATCGAGCCCATGCTATATTATTTTATCGGAATAATAATAATCAGGAACCCAAAAAAACAAAAAGGGAATTAGGAGAAGACAAAGGAATTTGCTATTTACAGTATGAGCTGATGGAGCACAAAGGAGTGTTCTGAAACTGGGTTTACGTTTTTTCACCTGAAACGATGAAAATAAATTGATAGAAGAGAAAAACCCTACAATTACGAGTATTATTTTCTTTATCAGTTCCTGATTCTGTTAGTCTGTTACATTCTTTGTTACTTTGTTATAACGCCTTGGTGACATTCATGTTTTTTTTTCCAAAAGTTATGTTCGAATTGTGTATCGATCGATAAAAGTTATTTTGCGGTGATAATAGGTATCAATAATACAATTTCGACCATTTGGAAAACAAAATTAGGGTTGCTTTTTCCATAGTAAAAGTTGGGAGTTTTTTTTTTTTTTTTCATTTTTTGGAATAGCTTTTATTGATTAGAGAGGTACAAATATTTGCGGATCTGAGCGAATTATAAGATTGGTCCGATCGTCGTCGCTGGATGATAATGTTGGTCGTAGAAAATGTGTCTCTCTATTAAAGTCGTCCACTTGCTTATGGCGTATACTAAAAAGTGCTCTCCAACATATGCAAATTGCAGATACAGTCGGTGAATGTAAATACATAAATGATGTATGATTACGACCTTGAATTAGCTTTGAAACTAGCCCCACATCAATTCGACTTATTATGTAATTCAATATTACACTAATCAACCGTAAGATATTTATATTTATCCGCATGCGTGTGTGGTATTCCTAATTAGAACCAATCGATGACAAAATTAGAAAGCTCCACGACAAATTAAACCAAACCAGTCGACTTCACCAACCAACGCTATCTATTAACCTGCTCATTTCACATCTAACAATTCCATATAATTAATTAATCCCTTTTCCATACAAAAGCTGACTTAGCCAATGCTTAAAACGCAACGTATGAAAGAGAAATCGAGGAACGTCGTTATTAAATCATCTAAGCTTCATCCAACCTTGTCAATAAAGTAGGGTTTTACTCACTCATACACCTTTCTTTTTCTTATCCTTATCTTAAAGTAAAATCTTTTTCATATTTATTTTGACCGGGTTACGGAACTTACGCTTAATGTGGAAAAATTCATATATATAATTCATTAGAATAAAAATTAATTCTAGCTGTAATTTATTTTAAATAAAAGTGAACCAAATTATAGAGAAATTACCTAAACCACCAGTTTTTATGAAAATATACGAAATCTGAAATACACCATGAGACTGTATATTATGCAAAAACTGAAATGTGTATTGGTGTGAAAGATAAGAAACAGTGAGAGAGTGGTAAGAAGTGGGTCACCAAAGTGAAAGTGAGTGACATTTTGACGTGGAGGCAACGGTGCAAGTGCAACCCCAAAAGAGATATTAGTCGAGAGAGAGATTAAAACATTGTTTTTTCCACTGTTTTCTTTACCGTTCACTTAAAAACAAAAACTCAAGAGTAATATTTATTTATAAAAAGAAAATACCTTAAATATCCAACAAAAAAAACAAACTCACATTCGAATTTTTGGTGACCATTGCAGTTAATATGGTTGTTGTTGCATACATTAGAAAAACTAAAGTCTATATAGTAATATAGGATTCAAATTTTCTAATTATGTATGTGAAAAGATGAAAAAGTTGTCAGATTATATTTTGATTATTTTCCTTTCTTGTATCTGTTACTAATAAAAAGACACCAGAATATTTTGAAAAACCTTGCAAATTTTATTGTGTTTCATTTTAGCATTTTGGATAAGTAAAAAAAAAGCGTTTAAAAAGATTGGTTGCTTAAATTGTGCAAGATCGGTCGAATAACAGTTAGAAAGGCCCCACCAGCGATCCCTTTTCCGTGTCATATTTTAGAAACTTACATATATGGGCTGATCCATGGGCCCATCAGTCACCCTCATCTATTATATTATACACAGACACAATGATATACTTAAGCAGCAATGTAAGCTTTTAATGAATAAATTTGACAATACAATCTGAGATTTTGTCTTATTTTAGTTAATTATTTTGATGCGTCTATATTATTGTATCATGATGTTAGTGTTAGTAAACATAAACAAGTAATTTTCACATAAATTGCATTTTTTTTTTTTGGTAACCATGAAAATAAGATCATGTATTTAAATGAATAATTAAGGAGGTAGGTGACTCACTGAGAGTCAAGAGCAGTTTGTGATGGGAAAGAGATTCAGATATATCTCTAAAGATGATGAGGAACACTACAGTGTGATGACGTCATCGTATACAGTGGGTGGACCCCAGGCTGTTGGGTCCCCCGAAAAGAGCGGGATGAGAGATTTGGTTTCAGTCATTCACTAAAAAAATACTAGAAGAGAACACATTTAACATCTATCTTATCCCAGATTTATTATATGATATGAATATTGTATAATTTGGAGTAAAATTAGTGAATTAAAATCAAGATTGACAAATTACATCTATTTGTCTAGTGATGATGAAGGACCCATAGCTTGATAGCTTCGTCATCCTCTCCTACCACTGAACGTTTCCCTCACCAATAGCTCTGAATAATTTATTTTTATCTTTTATTGCTTTATTTAGCAAACAATTTGTTTTTTAGTATTTGATTAGAAAAATGTTTTTAATTTTTGTTTTGGCGCGAGAGTGTCCGTCACGTGAACAAGTTTACATTGTCATATCCCAAATGGAGACATTAATATGAACAACCTCGGCGATTATATGTCATATCCGTCTTTCAACTTAACTATTATGATTTTTTTACTGCGTCATAAAAGGATTCTGCGTTTATTTGGGCGCATGGATCCACATCCACTAAACATATATACTTCATCTAAAACCCATTATTTTGAACTCGAATTCAGATTTGAGTATCACTATAATAACATTCTCTTACAACTAATGTGGAAGTATCTTGTACGTATCTCTCTTTTTCTTTCTTACTAGACTAAAACTTTGGAATTAATCCAATGACAAAATGATGTCTGTAGATTATAATGTATGGAGTTATTGGACTTAAGTATGCTGTGTGTTTATATCGGTATTATTACCGTTACAATCTTAAAAAATAACCCAAAAAAATATAGTAAAGAAAATCAAAGAAAATGGGGGACCCACAATGAAATCAGACGGTCAGATTTTAATCAAGGCGTTGATCCACTTTCTAGGGCTGACCTTTCTTTCTTTCTTCTTCTCTTTACCTCTCTCTCTCTCTCTCTCTCTCTTCTAAAAATCCAAAGCTTGAGATCCCGCCGTTTCTTTCTCTCCCTCTCCGTCATCGTCTTCTTCGGTTTTTACAGTGACCGCAACTCTGCAGGTGTGGCAGTTCTTTTTACAGATCGCCGGAGGTTAGATCTGGGAATGGCTTACATGTGCACTGATAGTGGCAATCTAATGGCTATTGCTCAACAAGTCATCAAACAGAAGCAGCAACAAGAACAACAACAGCAACAACATCATCATCATCATCATCAAGACCATCAGCTTTTTGGTATCAACCCTTTGTCTCTTAACCCATGGCCCAACACCTCCCTCGGTTTTGGCCTTTCCGGTTCCGCTTTTCCCGACCCCTTTCAAGTTACCGGCGGCGGAGATTCCAACGATCCTGCCTTTCCTTTTCCTAACTTAGACCACCACCACGCCACATCCACCGGCGGTGGGTTTAGGCTATCTGATTTCGGCGGTGGAACCGGCGGTGGTGAGTTTGAGTCCGACGAGTGGATGGAGACTCTTATTAGCGGTGGAGACTCCGTTGCAGACGCTCCTGACTGTGACACGTGGCATAATAATCCCGATTACGTAATCTACGGTCCTGATCCATTCGACACTTACCCGAGTCGACTCAGTGTCCAACCGTCAGATCTAAACCGAGTCATCGACACGTCGAGTCCACTTCCTCATCCTCCGCCGACCTTGTGGCCTCCTTCTTCCCCATTATCGATTCCTCCGCTTCCTCATGACTCACCAACCAAAGAAGACCCGGAGACTAACGACTCCGAAGACGATGACTTTGACCTAGAACCACCTCTCCTCAAAGCTATCTACGACTGTGCACGGATCTCAGACTCTGACCCTAACGAAGCTTCAAAGACACTTGTTCAGATCCGAGAATCTGTATCGGAGCTAGGTGATCCGACGGAGCGAGTTGGATTTTACTTCACGGAAGCTCTCTCCAACAGATTATCTCCTGATTCGCTGGCGACGTCGTCGTCTTCGTCTACGGAGGATTTAATCTTATCTTATAAAACCCTAAACGACGCATGTCCTTACTCCAAATTCGCACATTTGACGGCGAATCAAGCGATTCTAGAAGCAACGGAGAATTCAAACAAGATTCACATCGTCGATTTTGGAATCGTTCAAGGTATTCAATGGCCTGCTCTTCTTCAAGCTCTAGCTACTCGTTCTTCTGGTAAACCCACTCAAATCCGGGTCTCGGGTATACCCGCTCCATCTCTCGGTGAATCTCCGGAACCGTCGTTAATCGCCACCGGAAACCGCCTCCGTGATTTCGCCAAGGTTCTGGATCTGAATTTCGATTTCATACCAATTCTCACTCCCATACATTTACTAAACGGGTCAAGTTTCCGGGTCGACCCGGATGAAGTACTAGCCGTGAATTTCATGCTTCAGCTCTACAAATTACTCGACGAGACGCCGACCATCGTTGACACAGCACTACGGCTCGCCAAATCGTTAAACCCGAGCGTCGTCACTCTCGGAGAATACGAAGTGAGCTTAAACCGGGTCGGTTTCGCTAACCGGGTGAAAAACGCTCTTCAATTCTATTCCGCGGTTTTCGAATCTCTTGAAGCGAACTTGGGGCGTGATTCGGAGGAGAGAGTGAGAGTTGAGCGAGAATTGTTCGGCCGGAGAATCTCGGGTTTGATTGGACCGGAGAAAACCGGAATCCATAGAGAAAGAATGGAAGAGAAAGAGCAATGGCGGGTATTAATGGAGAATGCCGGTTTTGAATCGGTTAAGCTGAGTAATTACGCAGTGAGCCAAGCCAAGATTCTTTTGTGGAATTACAATTACAGCAATTTGTATTCAATTGTTGAATCTAAGCCTGGCTTCATCTCTTTGGCCTGGAACGATTTACCTCTCCTCACTCTTTCTTCTTGGCGATAACCGAACCGATTCGGTATTCTTAGTTTTGTTTTGTTTCCAATGTTATTTTTGGTTTGACAAATATTTAATTGTTAATATACTCCATGGTTTGCTCATAGTGGTAGGTTTTGAATTCTCTGAACCTTATATGTTTTTTGGTAACATCTTTGGATTTGTTAAAAAGGTTTAAACACTGCTCTTAGTCTTGTTGTTTTTCTCTTTAGATAATTTAAACTGGTTTGCGTTTTTTCTTTGTTGGATAAGTGACCGGTTCTGGTCATTTGTTTAAAGATGTAATTACTATTTCATAAGATTAGGAAGGTGAAAGCCAATAATATTTGTAACTACTCTTTTATTTGTAATTTTGCTCAGAAAAAGATATGAAATCTTGTTTTGATATATGAATATCAATCATCATAAGTATATCTGAACATGGTACAACTTATGAGCCTAAATGTCGATACGTGCAAAGATATAATAAATATCAAAGATGTGTGTTGAATTTAACTATTTAAGTGTCATTTTCTTTTCAATTTAAAGCAAACTTCATCTTCTCATGTGTCAAAGTTGCCACACTTACTCTATTTGAGTCTTTCAGTGTCAGTCTCATTCACTGTACTGATTTTTCACTTTTGTTAAGTGTGCCAATGATGACATCACTCCCACGTCCTCCATCCGTCTTCTTTTAACGGTCACGTGGCTCCCACCACCCTGTTTTCTCGATGTCTTTGCCGACGTGTTCCGGCCCAACTTAGATGGGCCATTTAGATTTTTGTGGCCCAAAGTGCTAAAGAGGATTTGTCATAGAAATCTGTTCCCGTTGCAGCGCTCAACACATGTCACAGTTCTGACAAACACGTATTGCTAAGTCCCGCCACCTGTCGTACTATTATGTCGGCAGACAGGGACGCTTAATTAAGCTTAATCCTTACGTACTTAATTATTTCGTTAACTCCACATTTATTAAACCTTTTTTCAATAATCAAAACACACCACTATACATTTGTCACATGACTCGTATCATAAACCTATTACTAAGGGTTTTCATCTTAAACTTATCGTCTCCTCCTCGTAAAAATAAAAACTACTTGCTCTATAAAAAGCTTCAAGAAACCTCCAAAAGCTGAGAAATGATCAACGCGTTTAAGACCATCCGATCACTGCCCTCGAATACCGTCTCTTTCTTCTCGCCACCTTCTCGATTAGGCCGCAAAATCACCGGAGTTAGTTTTGCCACCGCTTCTGATCAGCAAAAGATGGATAAAAAGCCTGAAAACCCAAACGAGAAAACCGGGTTCGTCTCCTCCCCTTATGTGTGTAGTGGTTTCTGATTCGTTAATTTTGATTTTTTTTTTTAATGTTTTTTGTTCTCTTCTTAACTTTGATGGATCAGTGACGTTACGTCGCATTCGTATGGAGAAGGGTACGCAACGAGGTGTGATGAAGAAGGGTTTGGAGGAACCTATGGAGGAAATCAAACACTTCAAAAGGAAAACGAGATCCATGAGAATCACCCTGGTAATTAATCACAATATTTAGTTATCATAAACACACATCTTACAATTTAGATGATCACTTTGATTTTTTACGATTCTCTGTGTGTCGGTGTTTTCGTTATTGAAGATTATGACAAAACTCAAGGTAGCGAAGCTAAGGAGAAGGAGAAAGCAAGGAACCAGACACAATCTCACTGATGAAGAAAAAATGATTTAGTTTGTTGTTCTTATACTTCAATAAATCAGGCTTATGCTCTGTAGTTTGTAAGTTTGTAGACTTTGGTTTGAGTTTTTTAATTGCGTTTTTTGATCCGTAGCCTTTACCGGTTTTGTTTTTGTTATCCTTATCACTTATGTAACACTTGTTGAATTAGTAGTTTTTGTTGATTATTGAACTTTTTCCCTTGACTGAGTTTTGTTGTTTATTGATGAATCTACGGGTCATTTTTTTAGTTGGACCGTCGAACAACATTCTTAAAAAACGTCAGCAATGAATATTAGCCCGGTTTCAGACTAATGTTAATAATATTATGGAACTTAAGTTATTGGATCCACATTTGTGTTCATAATTTATGTAATTTATTAGTAACATCTTAGATTCTTAGAAGTTGGAAGATTCACAGAAGTCCACACTTTTCAACAAGTTTTTAGTTCTTATCGTACGGCTCAAAACATAGCTGTAGTGGATTTAGCTTCTACTGATTAGTGTTATACACAATCTTGTTTAATGTATCTGATGTGGATTTAGTACAAAGAAATGAAGAATTGACTTTCATGAACTGATGAACACATATGTACTAACAATTTCTTAATATGATAGTAATAACAAGAGAATTTTGTTTATTTGTATCATATCTGTAGTTGTTATTATTAGTTGGAAACTGGGGACAATTCATTTAATCATCGCCTATGATACATGATTAACGAACGTTGAATCCCAAATGACAACATTGCCCCTTATAAAGGTCAATTGAACCCGGTGGTAGAGAAACAATCAATTCAAACATTATGATAAAATTACTAAAAAACCGGAAATGAAGTTGCAGAATTTACAGTCTCTGCCATTGGGACAATCATTCGGGTAATTATCCTTCTCTTTCTCCATGGCAGAAACTCGCCCACCGTATCTTGTCTTCGTCTTCTTCTTCACTTTAGCCGTTGCTACACAGACCACCGGTTCGGTTAAGTGCAAGACCGGTTCGCTCCGTTATCCGTTCGGTTTCTCCGACGGTTATCCGATCCGATTCAACTGCTCTGAGGTAACCGGAGAGACCGTGATCGGTGAATTCGCTGTGCAAGAAGTGACAAACACCAACATATACGTCAAAATCCCGCCGGTTTGCGAACGCGAGATCGGTAAAATCGAACAGCTCTTCCAGGAAAATTTTGCTCCATCGAAATTACAGAACATAATTCTCGTCCAAGAATGCAAAGAACAGTCTTCTAATTGTTTAATCCGAAATAAATTCGTTGAAGATCGGTTAAATATCAGCAGATGTAAATCTCAGGTAAGCTGTTTCAACGGAACAACAACGACGACGATTGCCGATGTGATGAGTATCGGAGACGTTGTGAACGGAAGTGGATGTAAGTATTGGTTCTCTTCGATTTCTCAATCGGAAGTTTCGGTCAATTTGGGTCGGCTCAAGCTTCATTGGTGGCTTAAGGGAAGTTGCAGTAACATCACTTGCTCGGAGAGCGCAGACTGTGCCAATGTTAAGCTCGCCGACGGGGGACTCGGTCATCGTTGCACTTGTCGCGAAGGATTTAGCGGTAAAGCCTTCACCGTGCCTGGTGGTTGCCACCGATTAGGTTTGTTCCGGTTTTTGACTTTTGTTTTCAAACTTTGACCGACAGACAAAAACCAATGATATAATGACACGTAGTCTTTTAGCAAGGAGGAAAAGCTGACTTTTCAAAAATTCGCGGAAGAAATAAATTGACAATAATGATTTCTTTATTCTCATGTTTCAGTTCGTAAACGCAAAGGACTACACAAACTCATTGTTCTTGGAACTGGTAAGTAAAATTACTAATCCTATTATTCGGTTAAGCATTAATTAGTTCCGGTTTAATGAAGTCTCGAGTAGTTGAATATTGTTTGGTTTTTTTGTTATAGCAGGGATTTTGGTTGGAGTTTTAGTAATTGCGGTCTTGATAGTTACATATATCTTCCGGAACAAGCGATCTGCGTCATCTGCAAGAACATCAATCGCGAATCGCTTACTTTGCGAACTAGCAGGAAACTCCAGTGTTCCTTTCTACACCTACAAAGAGATTGAGAAAGCTACCGATAGTTTCTCCGACAAGAACATGCTCGGAACCGGAGCGTACGGAACAGTCTACGTAGGCGAATTCCCAAACAGCTCGTGTGTCGCTATAAAACGTCTCAGACACAAAGACACCACAAGCATTGACCAAGTTGTGAATGAGATCAAGCTTCTTTCCTCTGTGAGCCACCCAAACCTAGTCCGTCTCTTAGGTTGTTGCTTTGCAGATGGAGAACCGTTTCTAGTCTACGAGTTCATGCCAAACGGAACGCTTTATCAGCATTTACAACACGAGAGAGGCCAAACACCGCTTTCTTGGCCTCTCCGACTTGCCATAGCGTGTCAAACCGCAAACGCTATCGCACATCTCCACTCTTCAGTAAACCCTCCTATCTACCACCGAGACATCAAATCTAGCAACATCCTCCTTGACCACGAATTCAACTCCAAGATCTCTGATTTCGGACTCTCTAGGCTCGGCATGTCCACCGATTTCGAAGCATCTCATATCTCCACGGCTCCACAAGGCACTCCTGGATATGTAGACCCTCAGTATCACCAAGATTTTCAGCTCTCGGACAAAAGTGATGTCTATAGCTTTGGAGTTGTCCTCATTGAAATCATCTCAGGCTTTAAAGTCATAGATTTCACTCGTCCCTACACTGAAGTGAACCTAGCCTCACTCGCGGTTGACAGGATCGGAAGAGGGCGTGTGGTAGATATCATCGATCCCTGCTTAAAAACAGACATCGATCCAAAAATGTTTGCATCTATCCAGAACTTAGCCGAATTGGCGTTTCGCTGCTTATCATTTCACAGAAACATGAGGCCTACAATGATAGAAATTACGGAAGATCTCCAACGGATTAAGCTTATGTACTTTGGTATAGAGCCAGGGAAGTTCAAAAACCGATCCGAAACAGATATGAATAGACAAGGATCATCTCAGAGAATATAAAAAGTAAACACTCGGCAGAGATTAAAAACTTCAACATCTTCAATAAGTATGATGAATGATGTGATTCCTACATAGCCAGAAGATTCGACTGTTGCATATATAAACACCTTACATATTTTAACTAGTTAAGCTTTTTCCATATTGTTTTATATGTTAATAATATCAGAACTTGGAAAAAAATGTCAAAACAAAGCGTTCGAGCATAACTGGTAAACAAAAGTAAACGGAAGTGAGACTTAGAATACAGGCATTTAAAATGCCTCTTGTCTCACTTTTTTTGAAGTGTAGAGATACCACAAAATCAAAAGACTTCAAAATTTAAATAGCACCATATATAACACAAACCCATCTCATTCCTCATCATAAACCCATCTCACTTCAAAGTTTAAATAGCAAGTCATGTCAAAAAAATTGTTAGGGAGTATAAACTGATATATGATTTTTGTAACGGTAACTTTTTATTAGCAATGTGATCAATTTCCTTTTTTATATTTGTGTGAGTGATTTCCTATTTTTTGATAATAAATATAAAATGGAAATTCCCTTTTCTTTTTAACAACCTAACGTTTCTCTATATATAACAAATCAGTTTTTTTGAGAAATCATTATTCACTCTTTCTTCGAAAACAATAATCCACCTTTAATTTGTTCTTCTTTTTCTTTTTAGTCTCTGTTTCTTCTTGATCAAGCTCTGTCACCGAGAACGTCAAAGCTCGATGACCATCCGCACCAATGCCGTCGAAAGTGTAACTCATGTTTGAACACACGATCAAAGATCTTACCCCACCGTTCTTATTCTCCGTCTCTTTGTTTTTTGCGTTTCACGATTTCCGGCAAATCATGGAGGATCTCACCGAGAGTCGGAGGTGGTGACGCAAACCATGGATGCATCATATGCGCCGTTGTCACGAGAGCCAGGTTTATTGCTTCTCGCCTAAATTCCTATTTAATCTCTCTGAACTTTGGATTTAAAATTTTTAAAAAGAAAAAAAGTCTCTTTGTGTTTTCTGAATCAAAGGAACTAGGGTTGCTCTTGTAGTTAGTTTTACGAAATTAACCTGACCTATAGTTTTCTAGTCTGTCTCTGTTATCACTTTTAATTAACCTCTTCAGTTTTCTTCTTGTCATTGTAGGTTCCTATCTTAATTAATCAAGATTCGCACAGACTGTTTTGGTTTCTGTGGAATGATAGAGAGAACACATCATGCTATTGCTTGGTAACGAATTTCTATTCTCTTCTTTCTTCTTTTTTTTCTAAATGTTTTTTATTTTTTGATAATTATTTACAACTAAATTTGAACGTTTTTCAAAGTTTTTTCTTATACAAATTTTTGATATTTTCTCTTTGGATTTTCAAAATCTTTTTTTGTGTGTCTTTTTATTTTATTTTATTGTTTTGATACTAAATTTACATAATAATAAATGAAAACTAACCGGATTTTGGATCCCGCATTTGTCGTTAGAGATTCCACAAATTCAACTTGTTTTCATATCATTGTTATGTAGATTTTAGTATTCAAGTTTTTAATTCGGATTTTTAAAACCTTTTTTTTGTGTTTGGTTTTTATATTTTATTGTTTTGATACTAAATTTACATAATGATAGATGAAAATTAACCAGATTTTGGATCCCGCATTTGTCGTTAGAGATTCCACATATTCAACTTGTTTTCATATCATCGTTATGTAGATTAGTATTCAAGTTTTTAACTCGAATTTTTAAAAGTTTTTTTTTGTGATTTTTTTAATACTAAATTTACATAATGATATATGAAAAAACTAACCGGATTTTGGATCCCGCATTTGTCGTTAGAGATTCCACAAATTCAACTTGTTGTCATATCATCGTTATGTAGATTTTTGTATTCAAGTTTTTAATTCGGATTTTTAAAAGCTTTTTTCTTGTGTTTATATTTTGAATTTTATTGTTTTGATACTAAATTTACATAATGATATACGAAAACTAACCGGATTTTGGATCCCGCATTTGTCGTTAGAGATTCCACAAATTCTACTTGCTTTCATATCATTGTTATGTAGATTTTAGTAATCAAGTTTTTAATTCGGATTTTAACAATTTTGTTTTTCTTGTGTTGGTTTTTTTCTAAATTTTATTGTTTTGATTCTAAATTTACATAATGATATATGAAAACTAACCGGATTTTGCCCCACCAAAAAAAAAAAAACTAACCGGATTTTGGATTCTGCATTTGTCGTTAGAGATTCCACAAATTCAACTTGTTTTCATATCATCGTTATATAGATTTTAGTATTTAAGTTTTCAATTCGGATTTTAAAGGTTTTTTCTTGTTTGATTTTAAAATTTTATTGTTTTGATTTAATTCGGATTTTTAAAAGGTTTTTTTTTCCATGTGTTTGTTATTTTAATTTTTTTTTTTTCTAAATTTACATAATGATAGATGAAAACCAACCAGATTTTGGATCTCTCGTATTAGTCGTTAGAAATTCCACAAATTCAACATGTTTTCACGTGATAAATTTAACATATTAGCTGAGTTTAAAGGTTTTTTTTTTACTAAATAATGTTTTAAGTAAATCATTTTAATTTTTAACTAAACAAAATGTTTCATGTTTCATTTCTAAGAAAAAAATGTTAAATTTTTTAATAAGTCGAAAACCAACCTAATTTATCATCCCGCCTTTTTGGTCCATAAATTTAGTGTCATAAGTTTAACATGTTTTCACATATCGTAATTTTAAAGCTTTGTTAATATTTATTTTACAAAAAATGATTTAAGTAATTTTTTTTATTTTAACTAAAACTTTTTGATTATCAAAAAATATATATAATCGAATTTTACTGTGAAAACGATAGGGTTGTTTCTTTAAACAGTTTAAAGGCCAGCAACGGAAAAACCAGTTCAAGCTCGGCAGAGATTAATAAAAAACGAACAACATGCAAAAATATACTTCTCCGAATAGTACGGGCTAAAATATTGGGCCTTATCAATCCTACAGATGTCCTTCTAACTGGGCCTTGAGAGTTTATAGTGTACAGTTTACCAAAATAAACTTTTTATTAGTGTTTAAAAAAGAATTAATTAGGGAAGGATCGTATTTGGTCAGTGGAAGATACGCAGCACATATTCCAACTAATCCTCGACAGCTCATTGCTTCCATTTGTCAGCTTATCCGAAGCCGACCATTTTAAAGACTTTAGTTTTAAATTACTTAATTAAGTTCAAACTAATTTCTATATTACTTATTTACTCGTTGAAACTACTACTACTACAAAAATAAAAGATTTTATTATTAGTTGCTTTGTATAATTAAAAATAAAACAATGTAACCCTGCACGTACGCCTCCGTAGTACCCTGTGAACAGCTTTCGATGAATTCATTAGTCATCCACTTTTCAAAGTTTAGAAATTTTATTCAATTGGTAGATGTTTTTTTGGATGGAAGAGGATGAAATAAGTTGCTCATGATATTTATTCAGAATTCAAATAACTTAATAAAATAGTAAAATTTAGTATTTGGACTTATAGTTGGCATCTAAATGTGAAATTCCAAGTTATTACAAACAACTTTTTCTCTTTTCTTTGTCCACCAAACTATTAATATTAGAATATATGATTTCACCAATCAATACTTAATATTATTGGATTAATTACCAAAAAGGTCAAATCAATTATTTCGGAATAGTATAAATCTTTGACCAGTCATGCGAACGTGAGCAGGGGGTTCTTTTTGAAAATCGACACGTGGCTTAAACCCATTCGCCACTCATCACCTGAGAAAAGCGTTTTTTGAACCATGTGATTGACTGCACGATGCATTAGAGGCCGAGCGAGTGACTTGAAATATTTAACATAATTAGACCCAAACCTTAACTATAAGTCTGTAACCAGATGGTTCAGAAAATTAGACCAAGATACTATTATTAGATGATTAAATTCACGTCCGCCAAGCGTAATTTATTCGTTCGTCTCTTTATGATTATAAACTTAACACAGTTTACTACTATAGTAAATAAATATGTATACTAATATTATATAAGAGTGTGTAAATACTAAATAGAAAGAGAGATAGAGAAGAAGCACGTGGGGTCAGGCAAAAGGGTCGGCATCGCCAGCTAATAAACCTTTCTTTTCACTGTTGAGTCAAACCACAGTCAATGCAAAAGGGAGATTATGGTTCGTATTTTTTCCCTTCAAAAAAAAAAAACTATGATAATTTTTATAGAATTATTATTTACAAGGTTTATATATTTAGTCGACCGCAAAACAACGTAATAAGTATTGTACATGTGCCAATGCAATTATGGTGTGAGTGTGTGTGACCAGTTTAATATTTGTATGCATCCAAACTTCATCACTTGGTATCTTTATTCTAAGATGTTAGAATTCACATATATAGGTACAAGGATGCTTTTACGGTTTAAACAAATCTTTGGTCGAATTTATTGCATGAGAACATATACGAGAAGAGACACTCTGGCTGTCCCAGAGGCTCATTAATTACGTTTTCTTATAAAATAAAAAATAAAAACTATTTGACGAAAATTGTAGAAAAAGGAGTGACGTAGCTTTCGAAGGCACTTCCGTGGAAGAGATGCCATCTCTCCAAATCTGGCTACTATGACACTTTCCTTTTATATCTTTTTTCCCCTCATTTCTTTTGATTTTTTTCTTTTAAGTTTCATCAACTATTATTCAAATTTGAATCTTTTGTTTTGGACCCACGATTGTTTTTATTTTACCCAATACTCCTGATATTTGGTTGGTTGCGAACCTTTAGAATTGAAAAAAAACTACCCAAGGAGGGATCTTTTCATTAACCACTAGAAAGAAAAAAATGAAAGTAAATGCAGGTTGACCATTTATATTTTTTCGTAATTAATAACATGTCACAGAATCCTCATTAAATAGACTCATTTCTATTTGAAAAAATTAAAAACATTGGAGTAAAACAATACTAGTTCACTACAATAATAGACTTAATAGTAAATAAATAATATATTAAATTATCTTAAGGAGGCCTCTCGGAATCATCCTATATCGCCTTAAAATAACATCATCCACATAAACTTTATTCTATAGTATGACTTGTTAGACGAGACGACAACTCTATATTAATATTCTATACTTATCTATGCGTACGTGTGTATTTGTCTTTTTCAAAACAAGAAAAAAGTAAGCCAATACTCTTCGCAACTTCTAAACAGTAATTTACTAATCTACTAATGTAACAGTGTCTTAACCTCTTTTCTTTTGACATCAGTGCCTTAACTTTGGTTAACATGGTTGTAATTAGTTAGCCTGAAAAAATAAACCACTAGTTACCGTTAAAATGGAAATTAAATCACCATTTTGTTTTCTATTTTATTTTCTGTTAACTAATTCGATAATTAAGAAAAACTCAGTTATTACGTTATGACAAAACATCATGTCATATGTACACGACCTGACATTTTGGCAATGCATATCACTTCCTATTATCCAGATAATAAAAAGCTAGAATGAAATAAAAGAAAAATAAAAGTTGCAGGAAAGTGTGTTACCAAACACTAAAACCAATTAAACACTTTTTTTTTTACCCAAGAAGAAAAAAAATCTATACAATAAATGTCATAATACCGAAAATAAAAATACCATAATCAACGATCGAGACTTATTTATCCTAATGCTTTATTTTAATGATTCCATCGCATCACAACTATATTTCACATGTGAAAATATGGGTTGTGTGAGATATGCTCATGAAAAACACCAGAATTGATCTATACAATGTTTTCACACGAAGAGAATTGTTTTTTTTTTTTCGTTTGGGCTACTGAGCTACAAATACTACAGTTCACATAGTCGAGAGTTTTGTAAAAATTATATATTTAATATCTGATTGGTAAGGAAAATTTATAATACACACATATTTATCCCAAAAAAAAAAAAAAAGAAAAACAGTTCCATGTGTTTTTAATTTAGCAACTGTATCGGAGCGTGTCTCAGCACAAATTCTTGGGCCTATTTTTGTCCAAATTCCAATAGCCGAACAGTCAATTGACACGTGTATAAACATCACCATCCCAAGTAATTACTCTCTATTGTACTGTACAGATTGAGTTGATGTTATTGTTAAATTTCAATATTTGTCCAAACAGTAAATAATAACTAATCACACTTTTTTTTAAAATCAGTGAATATTATCTTTCATAATAAAAACTTAAGTGGGGGAAAAAATTATAACAACAAAGTTTTTTTTAAATGAAAAATGGATATAGTAATATTATATACTATTTTGGTTATTATGGCTTCATCATTGATCATTTGTGCATAAGAACTAAATGAGTAATTGAGTACTATATAAATACTGCACAAGGCTCTCTCTGTGCAATTGACTGTCCCTACCAAAATAACTTTTTTCTCTGTCTCTCTCTCTCTCTCTGGAAGAGTCTTTAAAGTGAGTTTATAATTCAACACAAACGAGCTCTGTCTCTAATGGCATGCTTAGAAATGTACAACTCCAATGGTGGTGGTACTCCCATGAGTCCTAGAATCTCTTTCTCTAACGATTTCGTTGAGATCAGGCCTGAGACGACCAAGACGACGAGATCAAGCCCTCTCTCTAAACAAGAGGGTTCTTCTTCTTCTTCTTCTGATAATTTCGAGTTCTCTGTCTCAAACTACACAATGATGCCAGCTGATGAACTTTTCTCTAAAGGAAAGCTTTTGCCTTTCAAGGAAACCAATCAAGTCCAGAGAACATTGAGAGAAGAGCTTCTCGTTGAAGAAGACGAAGAAGAAGGTCCACGTGATGCTACCAACATCTTCTCTCTCAAGCCACCAATCTTCTCATCATCATCTTCTTCTTCTTCTTCTAAGGGAAGGTGGAAAGGACTTTTGGGCCTTAAGAGGGCCCATATCGGGTCTAAGAACAATGAAGAACGATTTGTTCATATGATTAACAACAACAAACAATCTCAGGTTCGTACTTTCTCTGATCTGGCTTGCTTTTGTGAAAAAAATCGACTATGGTGTCGATGAAAGTCGTGTAATTTGTTTTATTTCTCTAAAATGGGTTATGTAAAGTATACTTTCTTCGAAATGTTTAGGAAGCAATGGGTGGAAGAGAAGGGTCAAGTTGCAGGGAGATGAAGAAGAGTACGTAGAGCTTTAAAAAAAAAAGCTTTCACTTTGTTTATTTATTTAGGAACATGGTTGCTTCCAAATTTATAAATATTTGATTAATGTTAATCTTAGATCTGAAAAAGTTACTAAAAAAAGGCACTTATGTGTTGTTGACGGAGATGGTTTATTTCATTTAACTCTTTTCCACTACTCATGTTTGATCGATAATCGATTCTTCTAAGTTTTTTTCTTTTTTTCTTTTGAAGGGTGAGGATTAGATCTATCTTTGTCTTTGGAATGGATGTAGTTTCTTTTGGGGTTGTACAAAAAAAAAAAAAAGAACAGAGTGTGAGTAGTTCAGAAAATTTAAGTTGGAGTTTTAAAAATTGAAGTAACGCATATGTCTTTTGTCTTCATCTTTATAGATCTATTGTCTCTGTCCATTTGTTATTAGCTATTATCATTCAACTCCAACTTCTATCTCGTTGACTGCGTTATCTACTGATTAATATGCATCAGAGATTCAGAAATAAGTCATACAAAATTACTAGCATTTCTTTACTTGCACTTTTCCCATATAATGCAGCTAGAAAAATACATGGGATGTGACTGGTTAACAGAAAAAAAAAGAAAAAGGAAGAATTTGTTTTCTTCTTCTAAAATTGTCACAAAGTAACTAAAAATACAAGAATTCTTCCATCTTCAAATTTCCTCCTGATATTCACTGACCACTATCTCGACTATTCTTTTAACAAACTATAGACAAAAACCAAAAACACCACTCAAGTTTTTTTTTAAAAACTAAAATCTACACCAAAAACTAAAAAAATCATAAACCATTTTAAAGGCCTAAAAACAAAACAATTGTCTGGTCTTGTTGGGCCTGAAATGGAAATATGCAAATACATAACTGATATAAGATAAGTTATTGGGCCTTCTAGTTTAACAGTTGCGATCGAACAGTAAAAAATGCGCTTGGTTATACTATTACCGTAATTCAATCTCTCAAAATGCCACGTGGCATTTGTTATGTGGGTTTGGATTTTCTACTCACGAAACAAAATTTCACCCACAAGACAAAGAGCGATCGTCGATCCCACCACACGTAGCTCTCTACTCTGAGATCGCCGGCCGATTCTCGTCGCCGACAAGAGAAGAACCGAGGAAGAGGGAAACAACTATGGATTCCACACCTGTGAATTGGGAAGCGCTTGATGCTCTCATCATCGATTTCGTTAGCTCTGAAAACCTGGTTGAAGACGCCGCCGCCGCCGCCGCCAATTCATCTCCATCTCCATTATCGTCTCCTTCTTCTTCTTCCTCTCCTTCTATTTCCTCTTCGTCTTATCACTCCAGATTGATCATTCGCCGGATCCGAAACTCGATTGAATCCGGTGACATTGAGACCGCCATCGATATCCTTCGCTCCCACGCTCCTTTCGTCCTCGATGATCATCGGATTCTATTTCGCCTCCAGAAACAGGTGAATCTCCTCAATCTTCTATTTGAATCCGAATTTGGTTTCTTAGGGTTGCTGGAAAATTGAGTACCGATTTTTAAACAGAATCTGTTTGTTTCCTGTGAAGAAATTTATTGAGCTGTTGAGAAAAGGAACACATGAAGCTGCAATTGGTTGCTTGAGAACTTGTGTTGCTCCCTGTGCTCTTGATGCCTACCCGGTACTGGAATATTCCATCCCTTGTTGTCTCTCTTTTTTGTAACATACTACACATTTGTTTTAGCTCCAAATGTAAAATCTATCCTATGTATCATCTCCATCTTTGTATAAGAGGTTTTGTTTTCTGTTTCTGAGTTCTCAATCTATGAAGTTCTGACCTCTGCATATATATCTCAAGGAAGCTTATGAGGAATTCAAGCATGTTCTTCTTGCACTCATCTATGATAAAAATGACCAAACCTCTCCAGTAGCACACGAGGTATGCCTTGTTTCTGCAGTTTTGTTTTTGTTTTTTTCTTAGGATATTATCTGATCTTGTGGACACAGAATGTTCTATGTTTTTTTTTTGAACTGCTACTATACATCATGCAGAATTTGTATTTTGGATTATAAGGAATTGCGCTTTCTGTTCTTCAGTGGGCAGAGAAAAGAAGGTATGAAATGGCTGGACTGATGTCATCTGTCTTGAGAGCTTCTTTGCAAGCATATGATCCACTATTTTCAATGACACTAAGATATCTGATAAGGTATATTCGTTTTCAACACTGTTGTTATCGGTTGTGTTTTTTTTCGCTTATTCTGATTAATCCATTGTTCTACCTTACCAGCATACATAAAGGATTTTGCTTTCACCAAGGCATTTCCTCCGCAGTTTCCGATCTCACTCATAGACTGCTCCTGGAGGAACGTGACGCACCAGCCACACCTCTGGAAAGCGTGTATGAAGTACCACCGTTTGATGAGGTAACTTGGCAGTTAGCTTCTTGATCATCTTGTAGTTGAAATGTAATTGTAACTACATCTTGGCACTGTACTCATTTTTAATATCAAATTTCAGGTGGACATACAGGCTCTTGCTCATGCGGTTGAGCTCACTAGACAAGGTGCTGTTGATAGCATGAAATTTGCCAAAGGTGACCTTTTCCAGGCATTCCAGGTTTCAATCTTCCGTCCTACCTTTTTCTGCTTTATTCTCAATCCTCATCATCTCTACGCTGTTTAAATGGGATCTCTTGCAAACACTTTTAGTTTGCGCTTAAGTTGTATATTATTTTCGCTGACTATTTTAGTTGTGTAAGTTAATATATCTGCATTGCAGCCTAATTCTTGCTTCCACATATTGCAGAATGAATTGTGCAGGATGCGGTTAGATGTTTCGGTTCTTGATGAACTTGTTAAGGAGTACTGCATATACAGGGGTATTGTGGATTCAGGTAGGTGATCAACCCCTAGGCAGTTTCAAGATCCTTTTTCATTTATTCTACCTCTTTTTCTTTTTTTTTTGGCTTTTATGAATTTCTGATCGTTCTAATCTTCAATCAGAGATGCAAATGATCAAAGGTCCTGCCAAACGCAACCAATCGGAGGTGGGCCGCAGCTTATCAAGAGATTGTTCTTTGGAAATAGATCTCAACACAAGTCAACATTCAGATATTGAGAATTATAGCAACAAGATCATGCTTGATGGCTCGCTCACAAATGACACTGAAATGTCTTGCGAACAAGGAGGTGACGTTGGCACACGTTATGGCAGCGAACCAACTAGCGTTTGTGAAGATTGCAGCACTAGCTGGTCAAATCAATGTGAAAATACAAGAGCTCTTCTTAGAATTAGATCCCATATGAATAGTGAGGGGAATAAACGCAAAAGATGGTGTGGGCGTACTGCTGAAATGGATTGTCTTCCTCGTCTTTCATTTGCCAAGTCCGAGTCAGGCATAAATCCTGTAGAGGACAAGTATGAGATAACCTTGGCACTGAAGGAATTGGTTAGCAGAGGGATGGCAGCAGAAGCTGTTTACGAAATCAGCACCATGGATCCAGATTTTTTCACACAAAACCCGGGTTTACTTTTCCATCTTAAGCAGGTAAGGGTGCAAGAACAACTTAAAGCTCTCTGTATATTCCCCCGAGAGATATTGTTTGTAACTTCTTCGATTTGCAACGGAGGATAAACTTGTTTTTATATATAAATGTACAGGTTGAATTTCTGAAGCTGGTGAGTGCGGGTGATCACAATGGAGCTCTAAAGGTCGCATGCTCTCACTTAGGTCCCTTAGCAGCCAATGACCAGTCTTTACTGAAGACATTGAAGGAGACTTTGTTAGTTTTACTCCAACCCGACGGAACCACACCTGGGAAAGATCTGCCTTTGAATGATCTAGCAAATATGCTACAGGTAACAATGTTTTTTAGTTTTGATCTCTTCTTCTGGTTTTGTCTGATGAACGATCAACAAACAACTGATGTTTGTTTCTGCCATTCTGTTTAGGTTTCTGTCGGTAATAGGCTCGGGATCGAAGAACCAAAGCTAATGAAAATAATAAAAGCGACGCTTCACACGCATACCGAGTGGTTCAAGCTTCAGATGTGTAAAGACCGGTTCAATAATCTCCTAAAGATAGACTCTTTGAAAGAAGTGAACACTGATTTGATCGGTGCTATCAAATCAAGATCAAATAAAGTTAGCAACACAAACTTGTCGTCTCAAGTCACGACGACGTCTTCAAGCACCATGACATCAGAAGATGGTGGAAGCAGCAGCTTGATGATGATGACTCAGACTTCGCCAAGAGAAGCTTTGTGGGAAGAAAGTGCGATTCTTAAAGTAATGGTACGTTCTTCAAGATCCTGATGACTTTTGGATCAATTTCTTAATTTTTGTTTTCGATTGTGCTTATATCATATAGTATAGTGACGACTGACGAGAGAGATGGTTTCAGGAATTTCTGGCGATGCCGAGGTCTGATGCAATTCAACTGCTATCACAATACAATGGAGACGCTGAGGCTGTGATTCAGCAACTCTTTGGTTAAAACCACACCAGACTAGACCGAGTAGAACTGAGGCCGGTTTATTTTAATTTGGATGAGTTATCATTGGTTTATTCATTTCTGCATTTGTACATTAACTTTACACAGACACACTTGTGAAAAAGAAATAAATAGTTTTATCAGTAAAAAAAATGGTTGCTTAGAGAGGGATAAAAGGATGTTGATGATATGGGCCTAAATAAAAAGCCCATTAAACTGCAAAAGAAGATACAAAGATTTTAAAAGTATTTAAGACAAAAAGCACAATAAAAGAGGAAAATATAAACAAAAGAGTGAATGGCCTCCAAACCGCTAGGGTTTTTTTTGATTCGGAGTCGGACCAACTTTAAGGTTGTAAAGCTAATTAAAGCTTTGGCTGTGTCTTTTTGAATGAAAATCTTAATTAATGTTCTAGTACTATTTAATCGAACATAATGAATATTGTATAATAAGATCTTTAATTTTGTTTCCGACAGACACGTAAATTTATGTTGACTCATTTTATCAATTTTGGGTCTGTCTTAATTTCTTCTTCTTGAATTTTTTTTTTTTATATATACAAAAAGTGTTCAATTCAAACGTAATTGAAAAATTTTGATTCCATTATTTTGCATGTTTTCTTGCATTGGTTATGTATTTTACATAGAATATAATAGCATGCCACCTACTTTGTAATAATCATAATAAACAAACTCGACTTTAATTAACTAGTTTATTGGAAATAATTAAGCAGGTCCAATCTCTATATAAATGCCCCCATAGAAGCAAGTGTTACTTCACATCACCACTCTCAAATACATTCAAAGAGTCTTCCTTTACGATATTAATTAGTTTTTCCTTTTTTTTTTCTGTTTTCTTTTCTATCTCCCATTTTTCTTCCAATGGAATCGTCTATGGGTCAAAAGAAAACATTGTACGCTTGTGTTTTTTTAATGATGGTGTTTTTTCTAGGGTTCAATTGCGTCCATGGACGAACCCTAAAAGTTGATGATAAGATTGATGGTGGTCACGATGATAGGAAAACGATGATGGCATTGGCAAAGCACAGTGATATGATGGTTGATGACAAGACAGTGCAGTTATCGCCGCCACCACCACCACCATCACCGTCACAATCGGGAGGTAAAGAGGCTGAAGATTTCAGGCCTACAACGCCAGGCCACAGCCCTGGCATTGGCCATAGTTTATCCCACAATTAATCATTTTCATGCAATTTCACATGTGTATATGTGTTGTGAACTCATGATTTACTGTTGTTCGTTTTAATTTTTCTTAAATTCGTTTCGTGGAATAAAATGATTTATGTTTTTTTCAAGTCGTGGTTGAGTAGAAACGATACGTATAATAAGCAATCATTCGGGACCTACAAAATATACACATTGTATATGGCCAAAATATACAATAAGAATTGCTAATTTTTATATACACAATTTACATGCTATATATATAATCCGTGGGTGAATTTTGGATGGCTATAAAGTGACGGCTTTGGTGCTGCTGTGATTTGCGACTATATGTAAGTTCTATGTTTGCTTAGGAGTTAGGACTTACTAATTGAATACATGCTAATGCTAGTGCTACATTAATATCTCTTGGGACGTTGGTGTTTGATTATTAAACAAGAACATGATTAAATAATAACCGTGAGGTTGATGGTTGAGATTGTATTATAAATATTGACTTTTTGCTTGTCATCATTATGAATCAATGGCTTCACTCCTTTCAAATTTTCTTTCAGTACTGTTGTTCTTTTTAATTTAGTTATTATTATAAATAGTGTTCGTAGTTCGTACTATACAAAACCCCTTTATTATATAGCTAATTATTTCTTAAAGACAGAATATAGTTTTCTATGTACAGAATAAATTGAAAATAAAACAAAGTGGAAAAGATCTGTGGTCGGAGACTATGTGGTAGGCCCTTCAAAGGACTTCCCTGCGTGTGGGAACCAACCAAATTAAAAAATCAACCTTTTCACTTTTCAACATGTCATTATATAGCTGCATATACTTTTTATATGTAGCCCGAATATTCAAAACAATGGAATATCCTTGACGCTAAACACAAGTTTTATTTCAAAAACCAACTTTATAAAGCGTTCGAGAAATTCAAATGGAACGTATGTTTCATAAAATTGATAATGAAAAAAATATGTATTTTGAAATATATATGCATAAATATGTATTTTGATTAGATATAAGTATATATTTTATTTCGTGGTATTTAGGTGAGTCGCAGATGATAATAATATATATTCTATCACTTAAAATTTAAATATTGATTAAAAACATTATTTTAAAACTTTAAATATAGTTTGCTTAAAAACCTATATACATTATGTTTTTCTTTTAAGCAAATGATATCGACATACATGTATATGGGAATCGTACTGAGCACTCTTGATTGTACATGTTAAGATTCCGTTTATTTATCTAAAATTCAGTCGAAACTCTAAACCTATTTGCTAATAAAAACAATTAAGTTAAAGGTAATAATAATGACAAACGACAAAGAAAGAGTGAGTGGTAGGGAGGAGTTAGTGGTTAAGTTGATGCCTTTGACTTGATTCTCCTCCCTCACTCACGAACTAACTTTTCTTCTCACTCGTTTTTGATTAATTTTTGTTAAAAATTTGCTCTTTAAATTAATTTTGAATATCATACTCTTACAAGCATGGCGGCGTTGTCGGACACTTTATAAATAAAGGTTTTAAAATGGACGGACGAACCATAAAGGAAAACAAGTGTCTATATATAATACTTTCAGATGCCGACATTTAATTACTTATTTTATACTAATAAAAACATAGTCTTAAACGAATTTTTCTCATACTGGTTGAATAGGTTAAAGTGTGATAACACATCACACTTGGATTGCATGTGATAGTTTCAATATGATTACTTTAAACAAACGATTTGGTTTGATGTAATCAAATGTATACAATCTTCTGAAAGAAAAAAGAACGACTTAATTATTACAAATTGAATTTACCGTTCTTTATACAAAAAGAAAAAAATCGTTTGAAAATAAAGTGTACGTTTTCATCATATTATGCATTACCAATAGTTAATAATCATCTAGAGTACTAATTAAATACAGAACAAAAATTAAGACTTCAAGAAAATAAATTTCAAACGTCATAAACACTATTATTACACTTATGCATACTTAAAATTAGTCAGATACAAGACTAAAGAATGTGGAAAACGTATAAATCCTTCTGTTTCTTTAAATCTTGGACTAAAGAGGCAAAATTAATAGAAATACGATAGTATATATAATTATTGAGGGGAGGTATATATAATGATTACAATTTTTTTCGTACGAAGAATACTTTTTATAAATCTGACCTGATGGTAACCAACCCTTTTTGGTAGTGGAGAAGATCTTATATTTGTGAGTGGGGGGTCCAACTTTTATAATATACTCACTTTAGAAGTCAAGAATATGATCATATAACTAGGGAATCTCTGGTTTGATGTCCAAAAAAACCCTAGGGAATCTCAGGTATTGCAATTTCGCAATATATAGCCAACTTTTTTAGAACACGTATTTTAAATTAATTTTTTTAACACTATATTTTTTACTGAATAAATGAAGTTATAGCTATAGAAAGTCTCTTTAAAATAAAAATCATGCACGTACATTGCAATAGATTTTGGAAAGATATATATTCCAATTCCCAACAACCATATCTACATATAAATATATACTATTTTCATATACTGAAAAATACTAAAAGTTGAAAATGTAAACTAAAAACGGGATTTCTTTCAAGATTTGTACGATTTTCTTTGATAAATTATTTAAAAGCTTTTGTATATATATATATTATCTATGGAGATGGCCAGATGGGAGAGGGTCCTTCTAACATCAGTGCCTTTCTGTAGTTAGGGAAGGGCGGCTTTTGTAGAACTTAATTAGCCTTTGGAAATTTTTAGTATTTCTCCCAATATTAATAAGAAACCATTTTGAATATAATATAACAATTGTTGAATCATGATTGGATCAGAGAACACGTTTTTTTTTTTTTTTTTTTTTTTTTTTTTTTTTTTTTTTTTTTTATATCAGAGAACACGTTTTTCTGTTCATACTTATAAACTTTTTTTTTCTATCTCAATTGATAGCTTCTGAAAAGTATACTATATTCCGTTCATGCTTATAATTAAATATAAACTAACCATGTTTTTTTATTTAAATCACCAACCATGTTCTATCACTGGGAAATTAACAAAAATAAAAGAAAAGTACAATACGAGTTGGTATATTCAACAATGGAGCACTATGGGAGATTCAGGACCTCTGCTGAAAATCCCACGCCTAGATTTTGTTGTATAAATAATGGGAAATAATTCTTTGATTTGTTTACTATTAATTAAAATGATTGCCAAAACTTAAACATATATAAATTCAAAGTTGAGTTATATTTTTATGATGATTGAAACCGACGTTTTGAGATAACAAATTGACCATTTGAAAACCTCCCTTCTTCAGCTTGGATATATGCCGTCCATATCGATTGTCTATTATAGCGAATGTTTAATACTATCACCCCTCACTTTTTAATTCACATTATGCATTTTTATAGTTATGAAAATTGATACACGAACGGTCCAAATTAAATCACTGTGCTCATTGTTCCACTCACATTACAATTATAAAAACGATCTATCTCTCCGACAAACTTAAAAACATAAGCCAAAGTTGGGTAATCTCTACCTTCCTCTCTCATAAACACTAGACACTATAACCTCACACAGATTTTTTTTAACATGAAACTCTCAGTTTATATCATTCTTAGTATTCTCTTCATTTCGACGGTATTTTATAAAATACAGTTTACCGAGGCAAGACAGTTGCCGAAAACCAACGATCAAGATCATGGTGATCATCATTTCACAGTCGGGTACACTGATGATTTTGGGCCTACTTCTCCTGGTAACAGTCCGGGCATTGGTCATAAGATGAAGGAGAATGAAGAAAATGTTGAAGGGTATAAAGATGACTTCGAACCTACGACGCCAGGACATAGTCCCGGCGTTGGACATGCTGTCAAGAACAATGAGCCTAATTGTTAGAAAAGGTTTCATAGTTTAGCGTACTTCTTCATTGCTTTTGCTAAATTAATATGAAATTTTAAATTATTGTACAAGTGCAGTTTTAATTTAGTGTACGTACGTGTTTAGTATATGATATGTCACTTGTAATGGGATCGATTAAGCATTATTCCAGATAATTAATAAAATGAATTTCGATCTGTGTTTCACTTCATTTGACACTTTTATATATATATTATTTTTATTTCTAAGTTAAAGACCTTAGTTTCTTGCATGATTTTGCATGTTATATAATATATACATTGTTGATACTTCGCAGTGAGCTTCTTAATACTTGCCATGTGCAAACAGAAGAATATCAAAGTACTGAATACATGAAGACAGGTTTTGACGATTTTTAAAACTATATAAAAAAAAGAAGCTACGTACTTTTGTGTTTCTTTTCTAATAAAAGTTTGGTGATTAATACTATAGTATAAGAAAATAAAAGCTTAAAGATTTCGAAATTGAGGAGAAGGAAAATAACTTAATTGAGTTCTATTAACTACCGTTGAAGTTGATCAAATGGTGCTGTACAATAGAATAATAAATATTGAAGTTTATGATAAAATCATTAATTAATTTTAAATAACTATTCTTCTTTCTTGCAATTGGAATGATGAAAAAAGTTTCAATAGAATAATTTAAGTTCATCATAATTATTTTGTTGAATAAGAAAACGAAGGCAAATTATTAGGATGAACAGTATGAGTGAGAAAAGGGCAACGACAAAGCTGGAAGTCTAAGTAGCCAACCAAAATCACTTTTTTAGTAAATAATTTTTTCACTTTTTAAAGCAAAATCTTGAAAAGCGAATATGCCCAGAGGCCCGGAGTGAACAAAAAGCAGACTTTTCTAATTTTCAATAAACAAAAAGAAAATGCACCAGCCGGGAATCGAACCCGGGTCTGTACCGTGGCAGGGTACTATTCTACCACTAGACCACTGGTGCTTTTTGACATACTGCTACATCTACGTAAAATGGATTTATAATATTTTGTTACAAAATAAGATGGATTTACATACCGTTACATTTGAAATAATTGATATTTTAATAAAAGTTTTAGTAAACTTATTAAGAGTTTTAATTCGTTCTCAAAATATAATCTTTTTGTTTTATTTATTTTTCTAAAAATGCCACAACTTTTTTCTAGAATTTCAAAAAATTTGTGGTATCTTTGGAATTTGCGTACATAGATTTAAATGATAAAGC